GATGAGCGTCTGTGCACCGACGGCTCAGAGGACGACGACAGAGAAGGAGACATTTTGTGTTCCGACTCTTTTTTTCTGCTGCTGCCCTCCTGCAGGTGTGTGATGTCACTGTAGCATTTGTTGTACATCTTCCAGGCTTTACGGAGGATCCAGCCTCCTTTAATGTACGCTGTCAGGAGAATTGAAGTCAAGTCATTGAAACAGCGAATGATGTCAATGCGATCACATACTGAATTTGGAAAACAAACATGTTTCTTATTTTCATCTCACACCAGGTAAACGAGCAGTCACTGCAGCTCCTGTACCTGACAGCTCCTGTTTGATGAACGACAGCACTGCAAGGTAAACCTGACAGTCTGCAATGATGATCTGCCTCTGGAGTCTGTCCACCGCAGCAACCCCTGACCTCTGGGAGTCCATCTGCCAACACAAACACCTCACACTTGTCACAACGATGTGACAAGCAGACATGTTGGCGAGCTAACAAATACCTGGACATTATGGTTTTAAAATGCTCCTTTTCAGGTTAAATAAACTCGACCTATACACATTCGCTTATTAAAGTTGAGACCCGTTCACTCTATTGTGCACAGTTGTGTGTAGATTAAACTTTTCATGGATTGAATACATTTCCATTTTCAAACAATCTAGATATCAATAGATATGATGATAAATAAGTATTTTAGTAGGACTATACTTCTATAAAGACTATACATTTCTATATAAGTTAGATTTTTATGTTTAATCAATTTTTTAAAACATATTTTCAATTTGTCAATAGAAATCTACAACAGAATAAACTGCAAAAGTGAAGGGGTCTGAATACTATCTGTTTATAATATAATGAGGTTACTCACACTTCTCTTGATCTTGTTTTTAATTGTTTCAATGACACCGGTGTTTTCGCTCTCACACATTCTCTCTGTCGCTTTCAAGTCTTCGAACGCCATCTGCATTTTTTCCTCTTCAAACGTCATCATGGCGTTCTACAAGAGGTGGCCAGAAGAACAACAACTGTTTAACATTGATATTCAACTAAAGCCACGCTGGAAAGAAAAAAATCGTTATCCTGGGATTAATATCAGATTAACCCCGAAGACCAGAGAGCAAGAAAACAAAACCAAACTGAACTGATCAGTTCCGAAACTGATTTCAAACTATTTACAGTAGGACTCCTGTTTTCCCTCTAACATATTTAAGATCAGCTTGTCACAGCTGAAGAGAACATGCAGCCACCTACATGCAACAACAAACTTAGAAACTGCAAAAAATAAACACTTCCAGCCACAGTGAGATAAGTGTGTTTGTTTAACAATGTACATCAACTGCTGACACAGAACTTGATGCTGTCAAAAGGTGATTGACAAGTGATTTTTAATGACATGACTTGTTTCTGTTATATGTGAATGCACCAGTAATTATAAGTTGCTTTGGACAGAATTTCTAAATGTAATAATTTAAACCGAATCTGGGTGAAATGTGATTAATACAAAATAACATCTCAATGCAAACTGTACTTCAGCAGTTAGTCTCGCTTCTGGTTTTTTTTTTGAGGAATTGCGTCCAGAAAGAAACAAGGGAAATTCTTGAATGTCATTATGTAACAGAACTGGTCTTTTAAAAGAGGAATTCATCCATCATTTTAGTCAGCAGCATGTTGAGGATCCTGCTTCTCCACTCACCAGAAAACTCACGAAACTGGCCCCGAAACTCATCAGCGGACTGTGGTTCCTGAAACAGATGATATCGGAGAAGTGATAAAATAAGTGACATGTTGGTGACGGATTGAGGCGGAGTGACAAAAATGTGTTATGACCGCTCCAGGAATCAAACACTGGACTGATGTACAGACAGCATAGAGTCACAGAGAGAGATGCTCCAATACAAGCATTAGAAATTCTTCTGTCAGCAATCAGGGAGTACAGGAATCTTCGTACTAAATTACACCACATCTTTAAAGTATATTGCAGATAAAACTGCAATTTTCTTTTTGCAGAAATCAATTCTTCTTCAAAAGAGCAGTCGTGCTTGTACTGCCACTGGCAGCTATTATTAGTAGAAGTGAGAAGTGATTTCCGGTTGTGTTTCCATTTTGGAAACATCTCTAGTCATAGTGATATACAGATAAACTGAACCTCCTTGTAACTAATCTCCTTCACCCATAATGCAACACGCTGTTTAACAGTATCAGTAGGAAGTTGGTCAATAAAGTCAACCACATGGCCTATCTCATTCACTGTGTAGGCGTTTTTTTTTTTTTTACTTCCCTTCATCTATTTTTTTGTTGCTGATGCAACCAAAACAGGATGACACCTAGAGCTTAACGCAATTAGTGAGAGGTGACATTTCAAGTTTTACTACAGGGGGCCAGGACACATGGGGGCTGCCCTTCTGTGGCATCAATGTTCAAGGTGAGAGCCAATAACAGCACAGCATGAGGAATCCCTGCAACCTGCAAGTGGACTCTGGTTGGTCAGAGTGAGAGAGTTAGAGCTGGGGTTCCCCATGTTATGTTTTCACCCCTGTCTGTTTTTTGGTTGATATTATCTTTAGGGGCTGTATGTGAAAATGTAAATGTCTGTAAATGAATTAATTAATTATTTATCCAGACATTTGGGCACGAAATTACAGCCCCACAACTGCAACATTGAACAAGCTTAAAGGGATAGTTCAGCCAAAAATGAAAATTCACTCATTACCTACTCACCACTATGCCGATGGAGGGGTGGGCCAAGTGTTTGAGTCCACAAAACACTTCTGGAGTTTCAGGGGTAAATATTGTTGCAGGCAAATCCAATACAATTGAAGTAAATGGCGACATTCAAATTCAACTGCAAACAGCGTAATTTACACCAATGTTTTTAGCCTAAATGTCTGCTAGTGGAACTAGCGAGGCTACTACACAACCCAGGTGCATCCTTGGGCGAGAGCTTGTGTGTGAACGCGGCTCCAGAGAATAAAAGAGGACTTTTAGGCTAAAATGGTGTAAATGACGCCATTTTGAGTGGAACATGAATGTCTGGGCTTACTGACACTTGGATGACACCACAGGAGCAGTATGGAGGCTGTTATGCTTTTTTTTCTGTCGTTTGAAGAACTGGTCACCAGTTACTTCAATTGTATTGGATCTGGTTACAACATTATTTACCCCTGAAACTCCAGAAGTGTTTTGTGGACTCAAACACTTCGCCCACCCTTCCTTCAGCATAGTGGTGAGCAGATAATGAGTGAATGTAGATTTTAGGGTGAACTATCAGGTGCAGGCATCCAAACAGCCTCCAGCTGAGCCAGGATTGGAATTTCGAACCTGTGCAATGCATCTGGAAGAAAGAGAACTGGCCTGACAGGAAGGATCAGCTGCTCAGGGATGTTTTGAACATGTACAGTGAAGGTGGCCATCGTGATCCTGCAGGAGCATCACAGGTCACAGTCAGGATGTGGGTATTTGCTCAGGGAGTTCAAACTAGATCCATGGTGTACTTGTGATCTCATCATAAAGTGCTGCACTAGACAAGCGTGACAGGGATGTTGTTTCCTTCACTGAGATGCGTTAAACACAGAAGCAGAAACACGGTGATGTGTGTGTCTGACACAAACACGGGGGGAGACAGACCTGTATTTTCTGAAGAGCTCGTCACTCTCCTTGAAGCCATTGTTGAGCAGCATGTTGATCCCCTTCAGAGCCAGCTCCGCGTCGTTTATTCGCTCCGTCTTCTCCTTCGACACGCTCCCCGGGGCGGCTTCCGCAGGGTCCGCCATGGAGGGACCGGAGCGCCGGAGTGAACGCGGCCTGAGAGCAGAGCAGGACGGGCGCAAGGTGGGAGGGAGGTCCGGTGAGTTCACTTCCAGGCGGGAGAGTCTCCGCCGGTGGAGCCCGTCAGAGAAACCGCGGTTAAAACCACATTCTTCGCACTAAACAGCGAGCGGGTGCACGGAGCTAACATGACAACATGAACGTAGTGGGTCTCTGTCGGTTGTCACAGCGGTGAAGTCGCTGTTCGATTCCTCCTCGCCCGCCTCTGTCCGCCCGGTGTGTTTGTGCCTTCACACCGGAAACGTGATGCCTTCAAGGAGCCACCGGAATTATCGCTGTGTGTACGGTGGCCCTAAAGTGCACAACACAACCCGCAAATCACCAAACACATCAGCGAGGAAGAAAACACAGCAACTAGTTATACAAATGACAAGAAACAAGTAAGAAAGCACAACAACAAATTATACAAATGACAAGAAACAAGAAGGAAAACACAGCAACACATTAAAAAACACAACAGCAGGTAAGAGAACAGAGTAAGACATTAAAAAACATAGCATTAAATAAGAAAACACAACAAAACAGAGTCTATACCTCTGCCAAAGGCTGCACAATCGCCTTATTTAAACACATTTCACTCCACAAGATATTTGGATCTGCAAATTGCACAAAATGTGATTAGTTGTTTGTCTGATTAGATGAAAAGAAACGACACTGCAGGGGCAATAATCACAGAGATGAGATTATAAAGAGGATGAACGAGTTGCAACCGGTTGCAACACGTGTATTTGCAATTTTCATTTCAGGAGGTCCCAACAAGTCAGTGAAGGCATCACGGGAGTGGGCGTGGTGTTTTTATCTTGTCAGCCAATGAGGTGCGAGGGACACATGTCCGGAGGAGCCTGCTGCATGTGTCAACAGGTTTCTGTAACAACAATAAGAATGTTATGATTCCCTGAGGGACATTAAACCGAGAGACCAACTCCACTTCATCTACAATCATTCTACTTCAGACGTTTACGAAAAAAAACCCTCCTGCAAAGTAGGCATACGGACAAAAATCAGAGGTAGTTTTCTAAATCCAATATAAGACCCATTCAAATATATTTTAAGTTATATTTATCTATATCTTACAATCACAAGGAAACACACATCGGAACATAGAATAATGTTTTGTCAAAAGATCTTTTTACTTATGGCACAAAAAAGTATTTATAAGGAATAGATTACAAAATCAGTGGTCACAACAAAGGAATGCACGTACAGTATTACCAATCATCATGCATATTATTTTTCTCATATCACAAATTTTGGTGTAAATGTACAAGGCAGGTAAGTAAACACTTGATGGAGAATTTACGTATATAAAAATACATATCTAAAATAGCAATATGTATGGTGGCCCATAGACTCAGCAAAGTGCATTAACTGAAAACACAAAAGCGACAACACAACTACAAAAGCCACGCAACATAACATAAACACACAGTGACTACGGCTAAGTGAGATTTTGTTTTTCTGAGCTTGTCAAGTCAGTCACAAACATCCATCGCTGCCCACTTCTGTTGTACTTGTGTTTCTGTTGTGTGACTGTGTTGTGGCTCTTGCAGTTGTGTTGTCACTTTTGTATTTGTGTTGTAGCTTTTGCAGTTGTGTTGTCACTTTAACATTCATTAATGTCCTTGTGTGAGAGAACATGCACCACTAATACGGGATAAATGGTCCCAAACATTACAGACCAGATTTATGCTGCAGTAAATTTGATTTTCAACATAAAGACAAAAACGCTCCACAAAATTCACTAAATGCTTTTTCTGGTGTAACTGACGTAAACAGCGGCACATTGTCATGCTTGCAAAAGGAATGAAAATGAGCTCCAAACAGCAGTAATATGGGAACAAAATGTGTGAAGACAGTGTTCCTACTGAACCGGTTGAAATGCAGAATCCTATCCCTGAAATGTTTCTGAGTTGTGTAAATTTGATTTGAAGTAGGATATAAACAATTGAGTCAAAAAACCAAGCATGACTGTATAAAACACCATCACAAAAGGCATCATTTGTTTGATTTTTCTTAAAGTGCTGGGTTGCTGTCTCTGCAGCCTCGACCTGTCACCAGCATTTACAATAACATTTGATTGTCCACAGAGAATTAATGGACCAACACACCAGAATGTAAAACAAGCTGCTGTGAGGATATGCATTCATGATTTGGAGCCACAAAATAAATACAGACATGTTGAATAAAGAGGCAGTTACTATGAAACTGCTGCTCATATCTCTATTTTACACACACACACACACACACACACACACACACATTCACACTCACACTCACAGACACAGACTCCTCATAATATGTACATTCTTACATACAAACACATTCTCTGTCTTGGTTACAGATTGCACATGGTTGACGGTGGATCATGTGGTCCCAAGGTTTGTGTAGTGATGACGCAGTGAGACGCTTGTGTTCAGCCTGGACACTCTTTGAGGTTGATGGGACCGAACACAGCGGGGAGCCTCTCGAAAGAGACGGAGTCGTCGTTGATCCTCATGTCCTGGATGCATCCGACGAAGGACGACGTGACGGGGAGCACCTGCTGCTTTAACGTCTCTGCAAGAGAACACAGAGTGAACACGTGAGTGATTTTACAAGTTTGTCAAGTATTTATATGATATCAAATCAGAGAACATGTCAACATTTTGCTGTGGTTTTATCATTTGTTTTAGAATCGGAGATGAAGAGATTAACACTGAGATTACAACACTCACCAGGAATGCCACCCACATACAGGGGTTCTTTGGTCGATGGGATAGTGGGGAACGGTGGTCCAATCTTGTAACTGTCCACCGTGTCTACGTGCAGTTGCACAACGTTTTTCCTCTTGATTACTACAAGATACGTGGACAGTGACTAAATGACTTAATTACCATTTAAAACATCCCGCTAATGAGTCCTTAATGCAGGATTTGTTCATCTTGAATGTGAGCGTGTGTATTTTACCTGAAACTTTATGAAACATTCCATCACATAAAGAAGCTTTTGGCTTAACAGACACCATGAAGTTCCCATTTCCATTGTTAACTTGTGCCACCACCTGTGAATTTCAATGGCACAGCAGTTTCTGTTTATTCTTATACATTTAGCAACTTTTATACCATAAAATAGCAGCTTCAAAATCAGTTTGACTTAAGGTTTGATCTCTTGTGAGAAGTGTGTAACTGACTGATGGTTGCAGTTTAAGATGACAGAATCAGGCCCAGCCATTCAACAGTAATCCTGTTAAAAATACTTGAAGAAAAAAGAAATAGTTCAAAACCAAAGTTTATCTCTAATCTTAGGCGAGGAAACTTTTAAAATATGAGTATAGAGTTTGGTGTATTTGTTTGAGCTGCAGCTCTTCTGGATCGGGAAGCCAGGGATCATGGAGAATATCCACCCTTCAGTTGTGTTTCAGTTCTGTGAATGGGACTATAGTCGGAGCTCTGGTCAACAGATTGATCGGCCAGAATTTATCATGATGTGTGGCTGCAGAGGGCGCTGTTGCTCATTCAAAGTTACATAGTGTTACTTTAATATTATGTCAGCAGACACAAAAATATGTTCTTAATCAAATTTTTATGCTGAGGATTTTTGGAAAATCCATGGCAGCAATATACAGAGGTAGTGCAGTGGAGTCTCACCTCTCCTCTGAGAAGGTAGATACTGAGATAGTGACTCATCGTGGCTCCACTTTGTGTCCTGGTCAAATCACCAACATGTAGCAGGAGTCCAGTCGGACTCCGTGGACGCATGTTAAACAGCAGTTCAAAGCTGGAGCCCACGACAAAGGAGTCATCTTTAAAACAGAAAATATCATGGCTGTCATTGTCACAGATTTAGTTTAGACTTTTAACACAAATTGGAAATCTGAGAAATTGGTTGAAAAAGTGGTTCAAAATGAAATACAGAATTCGTCTTACTGTGTATAGGTGCATATTACTATAATACAAGAAAATAAACATCCACATTGCCTGGGTTAAATAGGTTTCTTTCAGTTACTAAGATTTCTGAGAAATTCCTGTAGATTTATTGACAAAAGTGATTTAACTGTGTTCTTCACAGTTAAATCACTTTTCTGTTTCCATAATCTTAAATAATCCACACACAATCCTTTAAATGAACAATTCCTTAACCTGAACTTTAATCACCTCTTAAAGCTTTGTCTTTAATTGTTTACAGTGTTTGTGTCATGTCTAGGGAGACACACATTTTGTGGCTTTGTATAATTGCTCCTGATGGAGAATATTTTAGAAATCGTTATGATCAAAAGAAATGCTTCTGTGTGCAACTATTATCTGTCTTTTTGGTATTGTGGTTAATACTCACTGATTATAACATGTGCTCCGTTCCCTGAGAAATAAGCCCCTCTTTGTGTCAGTCCCTCAAAGCAAGGGCCAGCACCGAGGTTTGTGGCTGGACTGGACATCAGCGCTTCGTTCATTTTAAAACTACGGATGCAGCCAGACACACTCTGTTTTGGAAGGGCCTTCGACTGGAAAAATAAAAACATAAAAACATATAGATTGATAGATAATCTGTAAATCAAGTTGTGTTTACTGGGCTCATAAGTGTGTGTGTGTTGTTTTCTATACCTTTAGATGTTTGTGAAGGGACTCAGGGACACTGCCCAGGTACACAGGAGACACAAATTGTTGTATGGACGTCAGCTCATTGTTTGTCAGCTGACCATCCTGAGCTCTGATCCCATCCACAACCAATCTGAATTTCTTCTTCTCCAAACTGAATATGACCTACAAACAGCATCAACCACAGACATGAAGAATAATAAAGTGTGTAGTTTCATTCTCTCATGTGGGTTCAATGGTTCCATGCTATCACTTATGAAATTGTAATGAGTTTGGTTCTGTGTTGAAACACAAAGTGATGAAGTTCACTGACCGAGTGCCACTTTCCATCATTGTACTTCTCCCTGTTGAAGATCTCCTTCTCTTTGCCTGCAGACAGTCTGATCCTGCCCTTGGACATGTATAAAGCAAGATGAGAGCGCCCTCCTCTGGTAGCAGCAAAGAAAAGCAGACCCTCAGGAGATCTTGTCCTGACATCTAGAGAGAAGTGAGGTCTGGGGGTGAAGAAAGAGAATCATCATCGTCGGTGTGTGTGTGTGTGTGTGTGTGTTGGCTCTGAGAGACTCTGCACAGCTTCCACTTGGTGTTTCATGTGTGTTGGCTGCTCTCTGACCTGGGCAGCAGCACCTGCAGTGGAAGACTGTAGCTCAGGCTGCTGACAGGGCCTCCCATACGATAAGCATGTTGAACCAGGGCTGGCAGTGCACACGCTGATTCGCTGTCGTTTATGGGCTGCATTGCACCATCCTGAAACAGCATACACAACACACAAGGTGCAGGGTTGGAGCATAAATCTGTGCTACATCACATCTTTTTGATGATCTCCGTCGGATGATAACAAGTCACTGACAACTCTGCAAATAAAAGACATTAGAACCTTATTTTTTTCTAATTATAAGGACGTATATGAAGGGATGTTAGGTTTTAACCAAGGATTATTTTCATTATTTGCAAATTCTTATTTTGATTGGCCAATTCTTTTCTAGGTTGTCTAGATTCTATACATTCCTTAGATTAATTTCTTAATTTCTAGATAAAAGTAAAAGTTGACTTTTGACAATTATCGAAATTACTGCAGATACATTTTCTATTTATTGACGGCTATGAGAATTGACTGCTGCAGCCACGCATACCACACAAACACTAGATGTCTCCAACTCCCAGAAATTGTCGAAGAAAATCCTGTAGTCCTAAATTCAACACTTGGTGTTAGAATTGATGACAGGTTGATGACAGGTTGCTCAGTTTGATGTAGGAACCAGTCGATATTTTATTATGAGTTCATTCAGGATTTCAATATCACTGTTTCTGGAGTTAGCACAACCCCCCATAAACTTTTTAAATTGTTGGTTAACTATGAGCAAGAGAATAGTTCCTTATATGATTTGTTTGGTGTCAACTTCATGATTAAAGAGATGAACCTCTAAAACTCTAAAGAGCAGCTGAGGGGCTTAAACCACAAGGTCCACACATCATTTGCTTCTTCACACACTTCATCATGAGAAGTCTGTTTCCCTGCTGGTGATATACACATCTCGACCTTAGTGAACCAGGGTAGTGCACTTCTCTGAACTCATGCAACACTTGTTAATCTATTGTTTAGATCGACTGATGTTGGTCAGAGGTTGATGGAGAACAGACTGTGATTGTGTTATGGCCTCTTTCAATCAGATGATCAGAATCACACAGGGTCAACACAGGGTTTAGTAAATGATGGTGAGCATGCAAGATCCACAATGACTTGTAAAAATACACTGGTAATACTTTTGAAAAGATACAATGAGAGTGATACTTATATGTTTAAGTTCTAGAAGAACTTCCATGTTAACTGTGAGGTCTAAATTTCTTCCATTTCCTATTAATGTTATATCATAAACAGTATTCCTTAGTCTTAATGCCTGGACCCCATTCAAATTTAATATCTAGTAATTTAGTTTTCAGTCCAACAGAGACAAATGTATATATATACCTTAGTGTTACATTTCTTCATCAGGCTTTTCTGACCCAACAGCAACTAAAAAAGATTTAAAGATTAAGTTTGAACACAAATTTGAGGTCTATCTGGGTTTTTAAAAGCAGAATAACTAACATTCATGTTCAAATGATTGAATTCACATTAATCCTTTGATTGATATTAACTGTCTTCAAAGTCAAAGTTACTGATATCGAGCATCGTGAGTATGAGTTATTTAATGTGATGGCTGAAGTTATTGTTTCTACAATATGATAATGATGATAATCAGGCGTGTTGGTTGATGATTGTGATGCATTAGCTCTGAGATGAGTGGTGAGTTAGAGGGTACGTGCTTGTCATTGACTGTTAGAAAGTGGCTAATGGAAGAAAGAGAAGAGACGTGAAATGATTTCAAGCTTGTTATTCACAAGTCTTTGTCGTTATTGGATTTTTAAATAGAAGAGACAAAGGATACAATACAATTCATAATTCTTATGATGATTACTGGAACATTCATGCAAGTTGCTGTTTCTTTATTAAATTACACTGCAAATGAATGAGCTTGTGCAAAAGCAAATGAACATCGTGGTGCAAATGGCCCGTTTTTCATGTCAGTGTTAGATTCTTGTCAGCGTCAGCAGCTCTTTAGGGCTCCTCCTTCTTCATCTCTGGAAACAAGGCAGCAAAATATAATGTAAACAATGTCAACAACACACAAACATTGAATTTTTCAATTCAAGTGTATGAAAGTTAAAGAAGGGAAAAATAAAGCCGGGTATGACTTACTGCTGATACAATCATCATCAAGTCGCTATGTTCATATGGTACATATTAGTTTTTCAGGTCTACAAATAAAATTCCCCAGTAAAGCTGCATTTCAACAGAAAGTTCCTGGGAATAAAAGTTCCAGGAACCTTTATTCAAGGAATTAAAGGCTCCTGCAGAGCAATATCGGCTTTTTTTCCACCAATGTCTAAAGACCAGGGCAGATTTGGCAAAATACAATGGCATAATGACATAAACAGTAAATATGGAGGAGATTCAAATCTTGCTACAATTGATTGGAAATGACAACCACTGGTAAAGCACATTCAAAACACAAGAAATTAGTTCTCGACCAATCAGTGCAAGCCCCACCCCAAAGGTTTCTGTACCTTTGTCAGTGGTGGATCAAGGGTTTCTGTAAATCAGGGGCCAATCATATGTTCTTATTTTTCTTATTGTTAGTAAGTGACTAGATGTTTTTAAGACCTCTGACATGACAGGGGCACTTCAGAGGCCCCGCCCCCTTGGATACATCCCTGACCTTTGTTAAATATTACCATGTCTCGAGTTCCTATAAAGATTTATAGTTTCTAAGGAAATGTCCTGCAGTGGAAACACATCTTAATTAATTCATTAATTACTAAAGTGGATCACAGAATGTGGGACCCTGTAACTCACCTTCTTAGAAATGCGGTTCAGCATCATTTGAGCGGGTGTGTCAGAGTTACAAACATCAACCAGGACCTCTCCAGAAGCCTTGAAGGTGCTCAAGTCCTCAGCCTTGTACAGATTATCTGGGCTGCAAACAGAATGATAATAAACAGAAACAATTCAACAACGATAATAATTTGGGCAAGATTTTATTTTAAAAATCAAGCATGGGGAGGAAAATATTACCGTCTTGTGTAGAGGTTGGAAATGCAGCCTTTGAACTGTTTATTTCCCAGGATTAGGGAGCCCGCTGTGTCAGGAATGGAAGTGCTGCCGCTCTGCATCTGACCCTTATCGGCATCGTCAATAACAAGTTCGATCCTGTTTGAAAAAGTCAGGTAAATTCCCTTTAGCAAGAGCTGAGTGTTTGCCAGAGTTTGAATTTTTTATTGCATTTAATTTGACCAAAGTTAGATTTCATCCACAGGTATGTCAGTTTATTTTTTCATTCCATCAATATACATATGTCTGAGCATCGGCCCTCACATTAACATATCATATTTAAATGTAGAATCATACCTTTCACCACTTCTCTTCGCAGTCAGGTAATGCCACTGGCCATCATGGTACTGTTTGTTTGATTTCCACATGTTGTTGCTGAAACTGTAAACAATGTACCCATTGTCCAGTGCGAGATTAATCCCATTAGGCTGGAGAGTAAAAAAAACATGTTTTCAAAAGCTGAGTTCTACCTGTGGTCTTGCAGAGATCAGTCACAGATACAAACCCATCCATTACACTGCAAACCTCCCTACACCGCTTAGTCTTTGAGGGTTGTTAGCTGACACTGGGTGAGAGGTGGGGTCTCTAGCTTATCACAGCACCAACATAAACAGACAAACAACTATTCACACCTACGGTCAATTTAGAGTCTAACTAAACCACACTCTTTTGACTGTCGGAGTCAAAGTGGAAGTGCAAACTCCACATGGAGAGAAGCGGGATTCAAACCAACAACCTACTTGTTGTGAAGCGATACAAACATTACATTTTAAAACACACGCAAAGACTTACCAGCTGTTTGTCCTGTAGAATGAGACCCTGATTCTCTGTGCTCTTGAATCCCAGGGACACAGTGACATCGTTGGCCAGGCTAAAGCCTGTGAGGTCAGAGGACAGGGAGCTCCCCATGCTGAACTCTGCCTTACGAGAAATCTAGATGGAAACGTGGACATTATGCATTAGTTAATTCATTCACCGTGGTTCAGGCTGTGATGCGAAACGACAAGTTTTGGATACAAAGGTGTGATGTATTACCAGGGAATCCTTGGGGCAACCACTGCTGATGCCCACTTCCTCATCAATACGTTTAAAGTCTTTATTTAGCTTCAGATTAGACAGGCATCCTTTAAAAGGTTGCATGGTGATGTTGTGTCTGTGAGGAAGGAACAAAAAAAATAAAGTTATTCTCTCAAGTGAGGAAACGCTGTTGGCACATGAAGACGGAAAACCACGTACTTTTCCCTCAGGTCTTGTGGCACACCACCGATATAGAATTCTTTAAATTTGCTGATGGTGAAGACAGCGTTGGCCTTAGCTACTTCTTTATTTTGGGCACGGATTAGCAACCCATCTTTTTTGATAACGATGAGGATATCCACCCAATCGTTGTGCTGTAGAAGGTGAGAGGAGCAAAATGTGGTTTAATAATTGACTTTATTCATCTGTATCATTTGAGTAATCATAAAAAAAAGTTTCTTACCGGGAATAATTTCCCATTGTTTGTTGCTGGTTCTTGAATTGAATTGCTATTTATAAAAATGACGCCTTTCTCAATTGTTATGGTGACGTATTCTTCCTGTGTGGAAGAGAAAACAAATAATAACAATGATTCCAATTCAAAACCATAAAGAAATCAGATTTAAACAGTACCCATTCGATAAATAACTTACCTCGCTTCCTATATATAACAGGAGACCGTTTTCTGACCGCGAGAAGAGGGACATACCGATGATGAGGACTGTTGCTGTCTTACTTATGGCCACTTTGCCATATCCAGTGCCTTCGAAGAAGTTGGATTTCTTCGGTTGTTTATACCTAGACAGAGTGGAGAATCAGAATTCATGTTTTCTTTAACTCTGGTTATTTAGACTTGGTAAATACAGAGAGAGCAGCCCGCTCACTGACAGATTTTAACAGAGGCCCAAATGTTCACTGGGACACTGTCATTGTCTCTGAGGGTGCATGTAGCTGTTCCCACTTGCATGTACATGTGTGTATGCAATGGAATATAGTCAAATACATGTATTGTGCATGTATCTGTGGATTTGGGAATTTGTTTGTATTTTCTGCTAGCACGATGCATCTAATGTTGGATGCTTTGTGCTTGTATCCACACAGGCTCTATGTTCATTCTACGTATCTGTGCATCACTTGTAATTACACAAGATGTACTGTGTGTAATATATCATGTAACCCCCCCCCCCCATCACTCACACATTCTGTATCTCAAATTTGAGTTTCTATAAATGCAAATCATGTCAGGAAGTACCTCTTGCACGGAGTCTCCTCACTTTTGTCAATGTTTTGGAAATTGTAGAGACTGATGACTTTGTCGTTGGAGGAGAGGAACTCGATGCAGCCCGAGTATTTGGGTAATTTCAGAGAAGCTGGTGGCTGAGGAGAAGCCAAACAGAGAAGAGTATTCATAAATCTCACTCTAGTGAAATATAAATATATTGTTTTACAATATATGGAATTGCTGTTGCTATCTAATTGTTGCTTACAGTGAAGTTGGCAGGGTAGCCTCCAACATAGAAAACAATGTCACTCGGGCTGAGGTCCAGCAGGTTCTTGCTCGCCTCTCCTTGCCTGCCGGTGAGTATCGGATCACTGGGAGTAGCCGTGATGGCTTTGGTGAGGACGATCTGTGCATCTTGGTAAATCCTGAATCGTGAGTTTAAAGTTAAAGTTATTACAGGCAGATCATTTAGTTAAGTCACAGTGGATAAGAGTGGTAAAATATGTGCATTGAACTTCTACGTTAAGTTGTTCAGTTGAAGTTGTTAGTTCACCTGTTTAGTTCCACTTTATCAAACGTGGCCGGCTCGGGTGCAGACTTGGTGATGTAGCCGGACTTAATCTGGTACTCGATGTCGTTGAGCTTGTAGACACCGTGCAGTATGTTGTCCTTCAGAAACATACCTATGTAGTTCTTCGAAGACTGCAAAAAAAGAGTTTCGTTGATGCCTTATGTACAAAATACAAAATAAGTCCTCATGTCATATTCACTTGCTGTTTTGGGATTCACTTACATCTCTATTGCCGAGATACAACACAAACATGTCATCTTTTTCTCTGGTCTGTCTGCGCCTACGCCTGCGGGATCCGTCTCCTCTGCCTTCAGGCCTCTGCAGCATCAGAGACAGCGATGTGTAGGCCTTCAGATCCTCCAGATTGCTGGGTGGACGCAGCTCCACGTGGCCATTGCCTGAGAACTTCATAGGGATCGAAATCTAAAGAGAGAATGTAGAGAATTAGAGCCAATAGAGAGAGATACCACACGGGTGTACTGGTTGGTAAAATTTAGCCTTGGAGGAGGTGTAAACGGGACGTGAGCAGATGTGGGACCTCACCTTGTTGGCTGCGTCCCGCGCCTGTTCGATGAGATCTTTGATTTTCTTGATGTTATCAGATATGTTGCCAATGGTTGAGAGGTCTGACGTCAGCTTCTCAACCTCTGAGATATTACTGGTCAGATATGGGATGGTGTTCAATAAGTCCTTCACTGCAAGAGTCAGAAAAAAACAATGAGTCTAAATACCTGTTCTCTTTATTCTACATATTTCTAATGTAAAAAAATCTATTGTGTATTGTATAAAAGTAAATTTTTTCAAATCTCACCAGATTTGTCCACATTTTCCAACACATTGTTGAGGTTGGAATCCACAGGAGTGACATTGATCTTTTCAATTTCCTTTTTGATGGCGTTCAGTTTGTCCATAGTGTTTCTCGCCGTGTCGTTCGCTGAAGCTGCCTTCTTCTTGGCTTCTTCAATCATACCACCGATGTCATCTGATCGAAAAAACAAAAGGAGGAATAATGAATGAATTCTGGCAACACATTCAGTTTAGCGCTCATCCTTGGATGCCTTGTCTTGTACTACCTCTCTTGATGTCATCTAATTGGTTTTGTGCATCCAGCAGTTCTGTCTCGAGAGTTTTCTTCTTCTTGTCAGCATTTTTCAGGCGCTCCTTCAGGTCAGTGAGGTCGTCGGTTGCTCCTGTTTGGGAAAAAAGTAAAATTAGTGACTGAGTTTTGGGTGGTGCATTTAAAAGTAAAAAAAGAAAATAAAGAACAGTTTAAAAAAGAGAGCTGAGTACCCTGAAGGTTTTCCTTTGCCTCACGAGCATCCTGCACCAGGTCTTCACCAGTCTTTTTCAGGCCTTTTGCTTTTTCAGTGAGTTTCTGGTTCTTCACGCTCTAAATTAAGGAAAACAAATTGGTTAAACAGACTCAATATTAAGTGTTTGATTTAAGAGCTTAATGATATTTTATATCATGCCAAAAAGAAGTTACTGTTTCTTACATTCAAGGCTTTGTTCGCTGCATCTTTGGCTTCTTCAGCTGCCGCCTCAGCAGCGTTAATGGCATCTGTTATCTTCTTGTAGGCGCCAATGGCTTTTTTGGCATCCTGTACCTCAGTTTGTCCACTTGCGTTCTTCACAGAACTATCACACAATATACCAAGGGAAGATAAGAAACCATAGACACACAGAGAATACCAAAACCATACAAATCTCATGTAGTGATGTTAATGCTTGAATAGCACTGAAACCAGGAGGGAAATCTCAGCACAAGCAACAGACAAGGTGGTTTCTGATTAAACCTCAGGTTAAAGTGAGTTATTGTGTCTTTGTTACTTTCACAATAAACTTACTCAACAAGGTCGTTTGCCAGCTTGTTGAGGTACTTGGCGTGGTCCTCCGCAGCCACCACGATGTCCTCCTTGGCTGCTGCTTTGGAAATATCATTCACCCTCTTGGTCAGATCGGTCTTGGCACCGTCCAGCTGTGCAGCCAGCTGTTCGTACTCCTGATGTGAAGAAGGACAGGGATGCAAGTTATTAATAACAGCAGAAAAATTCAGTTTTCCTCACTTCGGTGAACAGTGAGGAAAACAGCGATGGTTATCTGAGGGGAAGGCGTGTTAGGACCTGAGAGCCCACTGGTGCGGGATCGGAGATGAGGTCATTTATTGTAACGAAGCCAAACTGCATCAAAAATGTTTTAGCTTTCATTCAGATGCAATAAAACAGAGGTTATGTGTGTGTTTGATTCTGAGTACAGAGACTTTTTGAGGTGAAGGTAAATGTTTACCGTTTTACTGTCAGTGAGCTCCTTCACCAAATCCTCCGTTTTCTGGAGCTCATCCTCTGCCATGGCCATTTGGTCCTCAACAGTCTTCCGCTCCTTTTTTAGGTTTTCAACACGTTTCTGTAGGAAGCATAGAGAATAAAAAAGGTAAGATATTTATATATCTTTCTCTCATAATAATATTCCGCATTTACTCTTGTAATATTATAACTTTATCTCAATACCTCAGAATTTCTTTCTTTAATGTGGCCCTAATACTAATACATCTTACATTTCAATCACTATGGTATATTTATTTAGACATGATAGAAATCATCATCATCTATATATTTAAAACCCCTGGCAAATTAAGTATTACGTTTTATTTTCACTGTCACATTTATAAAAACTTGCTAACTATCAACCAAGAAACAAACATATTCCTTAAAACTGATTAACTGCCTAACTTGTGAGTTACCTGCAGCTCCTCCATTGCCTGAGCACTGAGTCCATTCTCAGCACTAGCTTTTTTCACCAAGTCCGTCGCCTCCTTCAGAGCCCTGTCCAGGTCCTTCAGCTTCGCATTGTAATCCTCCAGCAGGCCGCGGATTTTCTCTGCCGCAGCCTCGTTCTTATCACACTGCTTACTTACATTGGTCTTGATGTGGTCAAGCACTGGACAAGAGAAGAAAATCAACATCAGGGACAACCTCTTACATTTTTTGGTTTTGGGACAATTCACAGAATGTTCTCCAGTGTCGTACATTTCTTGGCCTCATCCAGCTCTTTCTCGGCAGCCGTCTTCTCAGGGGTGAAGTTCCTGTTCTCCATCTGCTTAACCATGCTCTGCGCATCTTTCAGCATTTTACCCAGGCTTTCATTGGGCACTTTATCGCCGCTGGTGCCCGACTCCTTCAGCTGATCGAGCAGAGCTGCAAACAAAATTTGGACAATTATTATCATGTAAAGTATTTTGAGACAACAAGACGAATAACAAGAGAAGTTGTTCTGCCACTGAATTAAACTTTCTCTTCACCTTGGATTTTCTTGAGCATGCTTTTAATCTCTGTGTCCAGTTCCTTGGCCCTCTTGTGGGTTTTCTCAACGTCTGCCACTGCCTTGTCAGCATCAGCAAACCTTTTATCTGCCTGAATAAAAACACACACACAAAATGTACATTTATACACATGTCCCCTCAGTTGTTGTTGAATGGGAATCCTAAGTATTGGCTCCAGCACTCTACCTTTCCTTTGAGGCCTGTGACGTCATCTACCAGAGAGCTTGTGTCCTCCTCCAGCTGGTTGATCCTGGACTTTTGGGTGCTGATGGCAGAGTTGAATTTGTTGACAAGAATCTGTAAAAAAGCACAGCGGCAGAGATGAAACAACAGCTTTATAACAGCAGATTCATCCTTGGTATTTGGTGTACTGAAGCATGAGACTTAGACATCATAACAATACAAAGAATACACAGTCAAATGAAGTGGATCCAACACTGAGATTTTGAGGGGATGAGAAACAACAAGTTCCTGCGATAGACGCTGGCATTCAGTGGTGCAGTCTCTAACTCGTGTTGACACATGGGATGGGGGACAAAATTCCCTGAGATTGCTTATCACCGGGGATTTCATATGTTTGAACAAACACGCCCATCCTGTGCCATACTGTTTGTGTGTATGCGTGAGTGTGTGCATGTGTAAAAAATGGTCCAATGCACTGTGCAAAGATCTCAGAGCTCATGACTGTGGCTCTGATTGTTAGCGTTCGGCATGTGACAACCTGCCTGAGGTTATCAGCCCTGTCTGTGGCTGTCACAGCAAGTGAGCGTGGTTTCAGGAGAATGGCATGTTACCTTGGTGTCGGACACAGCCTTCTCCAGGTTCTTCAGCTGGTCCTGAGAGGAGGCGCTGGCACTGGCGTTGTCCAGCTGACCTTTGATACGTCCCAGCTCGTCGTCCAGCTTCTCCAGGTCTTGTAGTAATGTCTGGGCACAACTGTCACACTCTGAAACACAAAGGACAATTGACAAATAAATACATTGTAAAATGCATGTTGCAGAGTCAAAGGTAACAGCTCTTTAGTTACCTTGGCAGTGCTCATCTGTGTTTGTGTCTCCAGGCTCCAGTGTGTTCTTGCAAACTGTGGAGCAAAAAAATCACCATATTAAACTAAACAAAATGTGGAAAAATTTTATTTTGAATTCATGCAAGGCTGTCTATGATCTAACCTCCAGTCTGAGGATCACAGTTGTTTCCGTTGCCTTGGCAGTTACAGGGTTTACAACTTCCTCCTGGTGTCAGTGGTTCACCATAGTAACCAGGAGCACATCTGTAGATAAAGAGGAATAAGTCAGAACAGGAATTGACAGTATTTCCATTAATCGTCCTTGGAGACGCTCACCTCTCACACTTGTCTCCTGTGTAGCCTGATCTGCAGATACACATGATGTCTCCAAAAACCTCTTTGCACCCTACAGCAAAACTGTGGAGTGACAGCAAAATTACGATTTAATCCATTTCCCCATTCAATTATTACACAGCTGTTTTAAGGAGTGTTCCATTTTTTCTCCCCCACCTGTTTGTGGCCACGCTGAACGGGCACGGGCACACTCTGCATGTCCTCTGAACCGCGTTTCCATAGTAACCTTCTTTGCAGCGTTCACATTGGTCCCCGGCTGTGTTGTACTGACACTTCTGAAAATGATGTTATGTGTTAATTAAAACCGCTCGCAAACAACGTGAAGAGCGAAGGATGTCGCATGGCAAGATATTAGACACTGAATTTAAAAAAAACTAAACTTATGTGTGCACTGCTGCTTATCAACCAGTTTGTCACATTGATGCACAAATGCAAAAAGACATAGGGGCAAAGAGCAGGTTCATTTTCAAACAGTGTGTCTGATGCACTCTGCACAGAGTCTTTTCAGCCACTGCTGTAAGGGTGTTGATCCATGCGTGTGTTGCACACACAGGCCCAGTCATGAGAATCTTGCATAACAATAACACAACAGAGATGGTGGAGATTTAGAAATGCTTAAAGGCTCATCCACCCAACAGGGAGGATAATTAGCGAGTGGGGCTCCATGACAGGAAATCAGGAGGCCATGATAAATAATGTCTCTGATATGGTGAGAAAAAATTTCAATTTCTGCCAAAAATCCTTTTCACCTGAATTTTACACACTGGACCTTTAAAGTTACTTGTTTATATTAGAACCGCTACCTAGTAGATTTTATCTGTTATTGTGAAATATTTTAAGTCCTAATTATTCCCTAATTATTATATTTGAAAGTGCTATATAAATAGACTTTGACTTGATTTACACTGGAGTCAGTTGAACTAAAATAATCCCTCTTGGTTGTAGGTATGTGTGGTCGTCTGCACTGTAAACCTGCGGTCACTGACGAGAGATAAAGTTTATCACTTACCAGGCACTTCCCTGTTCGCTCCTCACACTCTTCAGCCAGACCGTTGCACTTACAGGGCACACAGCGGCCCAGGTAAGACCCACTGCCGTCTCTGTAGAAACCAGGAGCACATTTCTGAAAAGAAAAACACAGATATAAAGACACAGTTACAGATTATAAACAGGATAACCCATAAACCCTGGCATACGACTGTGTATTTGACTCAACAATTATGATACTTGGAGTTGATACTACATTTATCGCGTTATATACGTAATGTTAAATGATGATGCTGATGTACAGGATGTTATGATGTTTTTAAAAAATATTTTACAGATTCAATTCAAATCCTTTAAATTCTATAAGAGTAAAAACAGTCCTACATTTCAATGTGAACATTGATCTGTAAATAATTCTCATGAATCTAGTTTCTATCTATCATCTTACCTCACCCTGAGAAATATCCTGTACACATGAATAATAAGGAGACTAAACTTTTTCCTAACATTTTGAGAGCACACAGCCATAAACTTGACCTGAATTGTCATTAAATGTTAACACTGAAGAGCCAAAGTGTGGCCTTTGCCCTCAGAGATAACAGCCTTCAATCACCACCAAACCACAGCTGAAACCCTGCGAGCTGTAGAAAAAAAGAAACAAGATCAGCTCTCCATGGGGTTTTACCTGAATCTGAGAACTGGCATCATCATTAATAGAGGGATACTGAACTCTCTGTCCTCTGTTATGTTCTGAGGGGTAGCGTCCCCCTTCGTCATTTAGGGATGGATACTCCGTCCACTGAGCCCATCTGCCATTATGCCTGGTGTGGCGAGTTCGCTCTCCTCTCTCGTAGGGCCTGTGGCTGCCGCAGCACAGTCCGATCAAAGTCCAACATATCAGGGTCGGCAAAAGAACGTTTGCACGGCGCCGTCTATCCATACAAGTATCTGACATTCCTGGTGTGTAGTCTGTGTGAAATAATGCTCGACTCTGCCCTGCCTCAGCCTCTTAAGCACACACACACTCCCACACACACACAGAGGACACACCCCATCTCTCACCTGAGTCAGACTCACAGATCACTATGAGTATATGCAGGCACACAAGCACACACATGCAAGTGTTTACATGCTCTCTCCTTCTCCTTTTCCTGCTGGCATATTGTGTTGCTTGAAAAAAATATCAAGATAGTCAAATGTGCACAAGCACACAACTGACAACACACAGGGGATCCACTATGAGCATTTCTGAATAGAGAAAAGGAAAATTACAGTTTTGAGGGATATAAAATGAAATTGTAAAAAGATAAATCCTCAACCTCAACACTGTATATACATATTGTCTAATATTCTGTATGTAAACGTGTGTGTGTATGTGTGTGTCTGTGTGGCCCAGGTATTACTCATGCTGTGGGGACCTAAATCACAGTCACATTCCAGGGACATTCATTTTAAGATGAAGACATGTTTAGGTTAGGTTAATTAGTTAGTTTTAGATTAGGTTTAGGTTAAGTTTAGGTTAGGGTTAGGCAAGAGGTAACTAGTATTAGTAAGGTTAGATTAAGTTCCCAGGAAATCAATGTACGTCAATATAATTTCTCTGAAGTCATGGAGACACATCTCTGTGTGTGTGTGTGTGTGTGTGTGTGTGTGTGCGTGTGTGTGTGGTAAGTGACTGAGAGGAAAAGTCAGACATCCTCAGACAACGCAGACAAACTCATCACACTGCTCATACACATAAGAGACAAAACTGGGTGTGTCAGACACACACACACAGTTTTATGAGCAACACAGTGTTGCCAACTGCCCCACCCCATGCGTAAGGGTGAGGTACTTGTCATATCACCTCAGGACACACATAACAGACTTCCTTCAAACACCCCCGAACATACAATGGCTCATGCACACTCAGATTGGAAACCACAATGGCACTCCCATAAATTAAGATCATTTAATTTACTGTTTTTCTCTGCTGATACATGCTCGGCAAAATGTTTCATTAATAGTCTTATTGTGGTTCTGTGAGCCAAACTGCAGCAATCATGTGCACACAATCCAGATCTGAGAAGCACAAACACACTGGGTCCAGTCCGCATTATATAAGGATAAAAGGAGTTTGGGTACATTTTTATCCTTAGCAACTACATCATGCCTGTTTGTAAAACGTTCCTGTGAGCTGCAGCCACGCCAGTGATTATATCTGTACAATCACTAACATTATGCCTGCGTGATTGTGCATCATATCCCAGCCCGGGGCTACTCAGTTTTGGCTGCACAGCTCATCGGCCGGTATTTTCCAGTACATTCCACCTAAGGTTCCTCAGCTGACAAACTTTTCCTCTAGGTGAAGGGTGTGGTGCTCGGTTCAGGCGTGTCAGGACAATTAAAAATATGAGGATGAGGTGCTGCTCCTCCATCATTGCTCCACCCTGCTCCTGCTTCAACGTTCAAATAATGCCGAACACTGTCAGACGTGACAAAATGATCCATGGCGCTCCTCACAGTATTTTTGTTTTCAGCATTTTCCCTCAGACTGAACAACGAATGCCATGTAGAGATTTTAGCTGTAGGGTTTTTTTCAGTACGGAAGTCAAGTGTCAATGAAACAGCATACCCTCTCAGGCTTTGTCTCCAAAGTTTGGTTGTTGCCTAATAATCATAAACTCTTCTTACATTTATTTAGACTCCTTCAATTATATAAAAAATGAAGACTAGCAATACCAAGTGATAGTTTATGGCCTTTTTAGTGTCTCACCTCACAGGAATCTCCGGTATACTGAGGTGGACAGGAGCAATGCTCAACAGTGTTTCCAGGACTCCCTGTCCCTGTGTTGGTCGCCTCCTCAAAGCCCACCTCCCCCAGGCTTAGACGCTGGCTCTGGGTGAAGTACAAGGCTCGGATCCTCAGGCCTGCCAGACCAGCTAGGACCATCATGAGGTCCTCTCTGGACACGGGCCTGTTGGTGATAGCATGACGCCAGTTTCCCTGCAGGCGACAGATTTGTTATGTGGGGACTGAGAAATCTGAAGGTCTCCACCTTCAGATTTCTCAGTTTCTCAGTTTTTGTCACATTTGTCTATTTGTCCAACACTTGTATGTATTAAATTATGGTTTTCTAGTTCATTCCTGCTAAAGCTTTTATTTAATGTGTTTGAATTATTCTTTACCTCCACAAGATGGACCCTGCCCTGATACAGCCTGTCTGGAAGTGGGGCCTGAGGAGCCATGTGGATCAGGGTCATGTCCTGACCCTACAGGGAGAAATAATGACTTGGGTTAATAAACCGAAAAAAGAAGAATCAGAGTGAAGAAATGATATGACAATGTGGTGAGAATATACACACAGTCAGCACGACATCAGGTCGTCTGTCCATCAGAATCATCCCCTCACTGGGGATCCCGAAGGATTTGGACTGGTAGGTGAGGAAACCGCCATAAGATGTAACCTAAGAGAAAGAGAAATCCATCAAAATGTCAGTTAATCTGTAAAAACTGCATAAACAAATAAAATACAGGGAATAGGTTTAAGGAAAACTCTATATCTATACAACCTTAGTTTTATTTCTCAACTAGGATAGTTAGGACCATCATTTCTATCAGTGACTACAATTTACTAGTAGTTCATATAAATTCAGGGACTTTACAGCATTACACAAGGAATAAGTTAAACTCAATTATCTAAACCCAGTGATTCAGATGTGAAAACACACCTTGGAGATGTGAGGCACATTAAACTGTAAGTTGTCAGCGTAATAACTAATAACAACATTCAATTCTAGATGAGTCGTTTAAACAAAAGTTAGTGTTTTCTCAGATTTCAACTATTTGTTTTGAAAAAAATCATGGCCGAAGGTCTGAAAACAATACCATAGAAAAATACTAAATTTTCTTCAAATATTGACTTTTACTTAACCTTTCTATCAATCCATCTCTCTAATTTATTTTAATCTCTCACTCTGGAGATACCATACAGCATCTATTTACATATTTAATTATTAGTAAACAGTTATTGACAGCAGATCTTGTTGCCTTGATGTTCTTTCCCTCCACTGACTCACTCTGTCTCCCAGGTAGGACTGTGGTGCCACCCAGAGTAGAGTCTGCACTGTAGGAGGAAGCTCCTGGATATCTGCCACCACCGTGTTGCTGGCTGTGTTCAGGACGGAGGGAACCTCCCCCTGGTCGGGTCTTTCCAAACGCCAGCCCCGCATCTCCACAAACTGACCACGGGGAGTATGAGGAGTAACAAGTGAAACATCCATCCTCAAACTGTGTTGAACTGTGTTATTCCAAATATCTGTGACTACATTTTGAACTAGTGTTAGTTAAATACAGTCAGGCAAGCACCTCCAGAGCAGCAAGGTTTGACATGATGACGTCATGATATAATCTTTGAAGTTATGAATATTCATGAGTTAACGTGCCATCGCCATGGCAACGTATGCTGTCTATCATGCCAGTGTATGTCCTTTTCCAGAACAACACCTGTATGAGCCTCTTTCATTAAACACACAACATTTCACCACATACATTAGCTAGCAGAGGGTTTTGTCTGCATTAAATTTGCATTCACAGAAATGCAGGAGCACGAAAAGCAAACACACACCTTCCCCCTGCGTTTGCTGGAGCTCTGACACTGGTCAGTGGCTCCGAAGCAGAAGCAGCTGCTGCAGCCGTGAGGGTTGGAGAGGTCAAAATAGAAGGAACCTTCCCGACAGGTATCGCACCTGACACCGGCTACATTCCTCTACAAACACAGCAGCCATAAGAGAGAGAAGAGGTCAGAGCAAGGAAAGAGAAATAGACAAAAATGAGAAACTAGAAGATTTAATGAAGTGAACTCACCCTGCAGAGGCACCTCCCTGTGTCTGGGTGGCACACGTCAGGGGTGACGGCACCTTGATTACAGTTACAAGGCACACAGTCGGGGAAGCGATAGTAACCTGTAGCGCAGCGGTCACACTTCCGGCCTGCAATCCGAGGCTTGCAACTGCGCAAAATGCAGAATTGTTATCTTCAGTCAAATTTTAAATCCACAAAACAGTCACATGTGCTTAGTTATGTGGATGCCATTACTGTGAAATGTAAGTACTAAACACATTTTTATTTCATTTTTTAAAATATGAAAATACAGTTTAACCGCATTGGTATATGTTCTGCTCAGTATATAGTAACATATATGTTGCTGCTACTTGTTCATGCATTCCATTGTTTTGTTTTTCAGCAACTGAGTGATGTAAAACCTGCAGGACAGAAAAAGATAACCTATATATCAGCCCGACTGTAAACTAATCACTTTGAGGGGGTTTGGTGTCACGTTTCACTTTCAAGGTAAAAAGCTGCAGGCCGCACATTCCATTTGATATCCCTGAAAAGTTAGTACATGGGAAAGAACATTTATTTAATAAATGCTCTATGTTACACTGAAGGATAAAAGAAAGATAAGTTATAGCAAAAATCTATCAAATCATGTAAAATCTATTCATTAAAAACAAACAGTGAAGTTTAAAATCTGAGTTCGGAACATTAGATGAAGGTAAATAATTAATAAATTCAAGTTATAAAAAGAGTGTCCCATTGAAATTATATTTAGACAGTCTTCTAGTCTAAGTTACTAAATGTTGTTTTACTTTTTTGTGAAAAACTTTTACTCCAGGTAAAAAGGAAACGTGGCAACATTCCTGGTCGTTAGTATGAGACACAATAAATAGCTACATGCATTTTCATTTATCCATCTTGCTAATAAATGCTATAGTCCATACTTTCCCCTCACCTGCACTGTCCCGTGGTGCGTTCACACTCCGGTCCTGCGTTGGCCTTGATGCCATTTGGGGAACACTCGCAGCCCTCGCAGCCCAGCAGAGGGTGATAGTTGAAAGTCTGACTCTGACACACTTCGCAGCTCGGTTTAACCGTCTGAGGAGGGCAGATGCAGCGTCCCGTCACCTCGTCACACAGGCGGGATCGACCACACTCACAGGCTGTGACATAACAACAAGTCTGTCAGAGCTGAAACCTGAAGGTACACAACTGCTCCTGGTCTCTCCCCCCCTTTTCTCTCTCATTCCTCTCCCCTCTTTTCCCCATTTTTCTCTGCTTCCAGTTCATGAGGGAGTATATTCTCTCCACAGTTGTCAAAGTGCTGCTCATTGTGGGAACTGTTGGTTTCTCCATCTTATGTGTAAAGTGCCTTGAGATAATGTATATTGTGATTTGGCGCGATACAAATAAATGTTTCCTCACGTCTGCAGTAGGGGAAGCCATAGTATCCGGTGGCACATTTTGTGCACCGTCGACCAATGATGTGCTGCCTGCAGGGACACTGTCCTCCAACTGGATCACAGGCAGCTCCTGTCGAGCCAGACATCTCGCAGTCGCAGGCCAGAGCTCCGTCGTTATAGGCAGCGACGAGTGAGCGGGCTGAGTCACTGCAGAATTTGGAGGAGGTTCTCGGGCTGAAGAAAAAGAGAAATACTTCCTTATGATGCAGATGTGGTTTAATACCAGATAATTACAGCTAGAGGGCACAATTTACAAAAACATGCACTGTACTCTTTTATTTTTTTAAACTGCTACTGCAGGATAAACAGATTACTGCCCTTAAAACAAAGATATTTACTAGATTTGTGTCCAGTTTGTTTTTAATGACATGGTAGATACCTACTCAATATAAAACCCTTTTCCTCGACATTGCTGTACGAAATCTGCAGAGTTATCCTGCGGCTTCTCTTTCAGCAGATCTGGGCTGTAACTGTTGTCAGGAACCAGCAAGATATAATCCTACACAAATTATACAAAGCATAAGAAAAAGACACAATCTCAGCAAAAACATCCACTTCGGTTTGATTTTTTCTTCAAATATATTTATCACTAACATTGAGAAAGAGCTAAATGGATAATCTCTGGGTTTTTAAGTGTTTTAGATTGTTTTCTGTGCTTGATTTAATCTAGAGAAGCAAAAGAAAGCTAGCAAACAACAACAAAAAAGCAAGACCTGCCCCAGAGGTTGGAAGCTTAGCTTTCATAAAGCTGTGTGGGGGCTGCCAGGGTGAACACAGGCCCTTCATTGTGGTTGTTAGGGGTTTGGCATAACACTGAGGAGAGAGGATCTCAGCATGCCAAGTCCTCAACTCAAACACTCAGACTTTACAAAGAAAAAACACTCAAACATTATTTTTCTCAATTATTCTTAGAAATGAAGTGGACAAAGATCATCAAAACCCTGCCCGACTTCTCGCATCAACCACTGACCAGAGTAAGGGTCTTCCTAGGTGGCACGATGACAGAAATGGTGGGTGGCCGCCAAACATTTTGGTCCAAGTCGAGGGTAATGCGTCCGTCAGCGATGACAACCTCCCTGCAGCCAGACACCGCAGGGCAGAAGGATGCGTTTATTGAACCTGCAAGAGAAAAGCAGGGTTGAAGCTGAGTGACAGAGGGAGAATACAATATTCAGATTCTCCATTGAAGCCTTATAGGGAAGTGTGTAGAAGTCTTTTAAACATCTTGTCATGAGTCCAGGGATTTAATCTAATCTCAAGGAGGAATCACCCCCCTGACTGAATAAACATGCTTCTAGCCAACAGGAGCGAATGAACTCCTTAATGCTATTTGACCACATGTTAGTCAGCCAGACTTCCTCAAACATACTCACCCCTCCAGTCACGCCCTGCATCCACCCGGACCTCCACAGGGAAGGAGGTATGTTCAGGCTGGCGATAATGTACCACAACCACATACCTGCCCGGGAGGGGCACCCTGGGAGAGAAACTGATCTCCGTCTGGAAAAGAAAAAAAGGCAAGGAAAAATTAAAGCTAGGGTTGGTAATCCTGGAAATATCCTCCCATCAGCCCTCTTGTCTAAGCCACACCCCCAAACACACACGAACGTGAACTGACTGACAACTGCTAGATGCTGACTTTCAGTGCCAAGGTTGCAATAGAAAATAATGTCACTGCAGATGTTGCTTAATAAACATCTTAAACTCACTGCAGCAAATATATTTAAAAGGGTTGGAAAAATGACATGTTGTTTCTTTTTTAATTAATACCTGAGGGAATTTGAGCAGCACCCCAACACCTTGCGGTTCCTGGACAGGGAAAACCGCCGTCTGTCGTCTCCTTCTCAAGTCCTCGTCGTCTTCTTGCTGGGGTGCAACGACTGACAGCAGTCCGTCACGGGCAGCGGAGAAAATCCAGGCTGACGTTGGCTTGTCAAACTGCCTCAGAACACAGTGCCGACTGGAGACAATAAACAGCAACAAGCTTTTGTCAGTTGATTGTGGTGCAAGTGTTTGCACAGGCCGACTGCAGCAGAAAAACGTGACCTGTTAGGAGACCAGTCAGTCACACCTAAAATATCAGTCGTGACATCCTCTGGTTATCAGTCTTTTCTCATCTATACACATAAATTCTGGTATTACACATCAGACTCAAACTGTACCATAAGGTTGCAAAAGAAAATGCAGTTTTATCTTGGTGAAACTAATATACTCTAAAGACGTAGTATTGGCATACTCGCTGATGCCCGACTCTGCATTTTGGGCAGTATCAGAGGTATTTCTGATGCTCGTATTGGAACTTGGTCAAATGTGCACGTCTCTTTCCAGATTTTGAAACTAAACTGATACAGAAACATTTTCTTGATTCCATGCTTCTTTTTTGTTTTTACACATGTGTAACTGTAACATCTAACCTGCTCATTAGGTTCAGAGAGAGAGTAAATTTAGTGTGAGAGAGAAAGTTTGACCTGAAGTTGAGCCTCAGGTTAATGACCTTGCACAGCAGTAGGAATTTAAACACCTGGAAAACAGATGTGTCTCCACACAACAACGAAAGGACCAGTCTTATATTATTATCTCCAAAATTGCAGCTTCCATTCATGGGTCATGTAGAAGTGTGTTTTTGAAAACATGCAATGAGGTGTATTCTAGGTGACCTACCTGTCTTCACTGAAGCGGCCATGAGTGGAGACACAAAGCACCTTGGGGTCGACATAATCAATGGAGAACTCTTCCACAGGCACTGCATACACTTTGTACTGTCAAGAGAAACGTGTTTATTTAAAAATTGCATTGTTGCCATCTAATTTATGAGCAGCGATGATTTCTTTGGGGAAACATTTCTCTCACCAGCAGGAATGAGGTTGTGGAAGTTTGCAGGAGAAGTTCTGTCTTATGAGAGAGCTGCAACGCTGCCACCTGATTACTGCTGTCCACTGCCACACTCCGGCACAAAAAGCTACAGGGGTTTAAAAGATACTACAGCTACAAACATGTATATTCTACAACTGCGATTCTGAACTTTTCTCACACACTGAAAAGACCAAGACAACATTCTTTTGGAAGCTGGAGCAACAAGTGGAGGACTTACCTGTAGGCACAATTGTAAATATTAGCCCTGGCCGGGATCTGGCCTTCTAGCTGACCATCGATGAGTATGTTGACATTCTGGACAGCATCCACCTCACTGGCGTACTCCAGCACCAGAGCGTATGGGCCAGAGCGAGGCACGCGCAAACTGAGCTGAAGCTGAGACTATAGAACACATGAACAGAACATAAAGTGGACGATTTTGAGAGAATGGAAATTATGAGCAAAGGTCAAAAAGGAAGTTCAGGAAGTTACTTAAAAGATGACAGGTATAGTTTTAGAAAAATCCAATCATCAGCTTTGCGGAACCTTCCTAGTGACATATAGTTTAGTGTTGAACCCTTTTATACTTACATTATACATTGTATAAATACATTGTGTCTGTATTAAGTCATGGCTTCCCACCTGTCTGCCATTGAGATGAGCCATCTCAGGGTGATCTGGGGTGGGACGTCGCACACGAGCCTGCCGCCTCCTGCGCCCACTGCGGCTGGAGAGTCTTCCCTGTGAGCCCAGTGCGGAGCTAAAGCCGTCCATGGCCACATGCTTATACAATAGACAGCTGTGACAGACACGCACAGACATAGTCAGATTCAGCACGAATGATAAGAGATTACTACATCATCATCCTGCTTTAGCTGCTATTTGATGGTTATCAGGTTTTGATTGTCTGCTCAGAGCATTGTGGGATTTCATCTGTAGGCATGATCGATTACTGATGATTGCATATTTAAGATACACAATAGAATTGCTGCCCTGTGGTTGTAAGATTTAGCAAACCAGTGTAGTTTTACTTTAAACACAGGTCAAGTCATCCTTAACAAATGTTTGTGCCAGATGTTATGAAATTCCCTGGGTGTTCCTGATGTATCATGTTTATAAGAAAATGAGTTCCCTGTGATCTTGACCCTTGACTACCAAATTCTATCAATTCAATCATTTGCACCAAATTTGAAGGAATTCCCTAAAGGTGAAATAGACGGACAGACGGACACCATAAACATAATCCGGCCACTAACTGTCATTGACAGAGGCATAATAAACCCTCAACTTCATTATGATTATAATATCTTATGACTTCTGTAGGACCATATTAAATTAAAGATAAATTAATCTAAGATTTAAAAAAAAAAAGGAGAAATAGCTCTGAAAATAAAACCCTCCTATGTCATACATGAGTGGTGAGTATGAATGGACTGAACAGAATCATTAAATGATTACTTTGTGTTCCTGTTTGCGGTGGGCAGGTAAGTGCAGGGCTCGGTGATCGTCTCCTGCAGCAGAGGTGCTTCATAATAATCCCTGGGCAGCAGCACTAAATAATCCTGAGAAGTGAGAGTGTTAGTGTTTATATTAGGATTTTAGTCTTTCATATATTTGCTATTTTTAATCAAAAGAAAATTGCACAAAATGCACTTTTACACAATAACTTCTACATCAAGGTCCTCCTCACCAGCAGTATCCCCTCGGCCTTTATATGAATGATCCATTTCCCAGGAGTCAAAGCAAAGGGCTCGGCAAAGCCCTCTCCTGGGACGGTGAGGAAGGATGGCGAGCGACTCTCTGGGAATATGACTTCCTTACTCTGGTCTGACCTTGCTGTAAACGAGCAGAAATGTACAGCATTTTACACACTTAACAGAAAATACCACTGCTGGGTGAAAGCTTATATATATCACTGTCAGTAAGGGAATGATATACACTTTTAATGATGGGTTAGATTTGGCAGCTCGTGGAATGAAAAAGCTGATTCACCTGCAGTGCCTCTGTTATTGGTAGCCCTGACACTACCAGTCACACTGGTGCTGCTCGGGTTAATGAATCGCAGAACCACACGGAACAAGTGTTGACTCCCTTCTCTTGGGTCAACATGAACTGTTACTCTGACGTCACTCTGCAGGGGCGAGAGCGACACACAGCTGACTGCTAACGCGCACACAGGTTTGAGTCGACGATGAGGGTATAACAGAAAAGGTTAAAAATCATGTCCGGTGAGCAGAGAAGTTAAACAAACAAGGGGCGGGTTAATCAACAGACAGCAAGCAAGATGACGAGAGGGAAATACGTCCAAAAAGGAAGGCAGGCCCTTCACTTACAGTCACAGCAAGACTGAAAGCCAGCTTCATCCACCACCAAGATCCTTGCTCGCACTCGTTTTCTCCCCCTTTGTTTGGGGGTGGCGTAGCGCATTACAATATGGAAAGGGCCAGGAAAGCCAAGCGTAAGTGTTAGGATCACGTCCGGCTGAAGAGAGATAGGGTTAGTTATAGTGGTAGCTGGTATCCATATTCTTACATCAGCCCTGATAGAAACAGAGGCTTGAGTGTTTAAAGCAGAAATATCAGTGCAGAGGTAAAAGCAAAGAGAATCACAGTGGTATCAAAACAGACCGAAAAACGATAAAATAAGGAAGATACAAAGTTGTTGAAGTGGCAGATCACAAAAGACTTTCCAAGCCATAATGTAGTTTATTACAATAATCACAACTTATTCAAGGCGTTGAGGTACTCATTTGAATGCGTACTCACCTGTGCAGGGGACATTATAGCATAACCTCGCCAGCTGAAATCTGGGAACTCTTGTGGATTATAACCGAAGCGTACCGGTCTGGCATTTGAAGAGGTGCCATCCTCAACTTCAAACTTCAGCTGGTGCAAAGTAGGGAAGTAGTAGCTCGGTGCTGGCCTATTACAAGAGACATGAGAATATTAATCAAAAAAAGTTACGTTATCACAACAGCACAAAATGTAGTTTTGTCCAATTGTAAATTAATTAAAATCTGCTTTGTCTTACTCGGCGCATTTCGGGCCAACTATGTTCTTCCGACATTGACACTTTCCTGATGTCTCATCGCACACCATCCCAATGGCCCCTCCTACATCACACTCACAACCTATCAGGCAAAGAAAAAGGAAATGAAAAATGGTCGACAGTTGATGTTAGTGGGGTGGGATGTGGGGAAAGGTAGGATATCTTTCTTACCCTGACATCCAAAATAATTCTTTTTCTGCTGCATGAAGTATCCGTCCTTACAGGTGTCACAAGAATGTCCACACGAGTAAGGCTTACAGCGACACTGTCCACTTTTCTAGACAAACAGAGCATCAGGAGAAAATGTTATTGTGGCAAAGCAGATCAGTCAGAAGAGCAGCATGTAACTGTGAACTTTAATGTAACTCAATTTGATTAATACCTCTGTATCAGTCACAGGCGGCAGTACTATTGTCACTGCTTGTGTAGTAATACTCACCTGTTCACACTCTCCAACACCACTCAGCGTCCCTTTCAAATCACACCGACACTCTGGTATGAGAGAGGGAGACAGAGCGAGAGGGGTGAAGGATAATGAAAACGTGAAAGGGGGGGGGGGGTCAACAGTGAATAGACTCCTGATTACAGGATTTTGTCACTTTCATGGGTGAAACGCAACAGCACAAAACCCTCCAATCTGCAGAGATCATACATCAAAAGGTCCAGAGGAGCTTTACTGCCAGGGCTCGCTTTCAACCCAGCAGAAAAATGTCCGGCCACGGTCAAACAGAGGCATTCTTAGGATATTAAAAGCTCCTTCTTTTCTTGAGTCTTCAGGCAGCGTGGTAGTGATAACATTCTTGCTGGCGAGCACAACTGTAACATTAGACAGGTATCCAGACAAAGCCTGAAACTCTTTCCTCAGAGGCTAAACAATATAGTGGAGTATTTTTTATGTGGTCAAAGGACAAAGCACCACTCCAGAGGTATTACATTTTTTTTAATCTGCCACCAGAAAGTCATTACGGCTCTGTCACAGTTTGAATCCCAGCAGCTCCACACTGGAAGTACACAGCAGGAATTTGCCTGTATTAACGTGTTATTCCTCAGTTCCCCTCTGTGGGACAGGAAGGCAGATCCGGATTGCTGACAGGGGTGTGTTGACATATCCTCTGGGTGAGTCGGGTCGAGACCCATATCAGTACCTTGACAGATTGCTACTGGCGATTTAATACAATGGGAAAAAATGGGGTCAGTGACCAGAACTAATGCGCCTTAATTCTAAGTCAGGTTCAGTTGTCCGTTTTATTTCCAGTCACTTACCTATGCAGCCACGAGGGTTGACGGTAGCCAGATTCCAATAGAGGGGTTTACACTTGTCGCACAGGGTTCCTTTTACGTTTGGTAGGCACAGGCAGGAGCCCTGAATCAACAGATAAGGAGCATAAAGATTACTGGCAGCCACTTGAATGCTAAGTTATATTTGCTTATAAGTTCATTTGAAATCAGAGTATCTGCATATTGTACGATAATGCAAGAAATTGGCTGCTTTTCTTTATTTCAAACAAGTATATAATATGTGCCGAAAATAAAAGGAAGAATGCAACCAAGGAAGTATCTTTTCCTTGTTTACATTTAAGGGAGAAAAAACACGTCCTTGTTAAATCAGCAGCACAGTTTTCTTTTCAACTAGGACTGTTGGTTATCCACACCCAAAAGGCCAGTGCTGATGTTAGGCTGTAACCTGTTTAGTTTGTTAAAGGTTGGGAAGTGGTAAAAAAAAAAAAAAAAGTTTATTGAGAGTGGCATACCGTTTGAGGATTGGCGACCTCGGTCCCTGCAACATTGCAATGGCTAATGGGGGCTGAAAGTACAAAATGAGACAGAATTAAAGAAAAACATGGGAATCAGTATGTTACATGCTTTTTTTCTGCAGTGCACGGGTTAAATATAGCACAAGGTTGGTCAAATATTTTAAAACACATGCAACAACTTCAAAAAATTCACAAATATAAAATATTTGCTTAAATAATAAATACTGCCCTGCTTCATTGCAAAAAAGACTGCAAGTATGGATCCGTGTGGTTACCTGCACATTGAGGGAACCTGAGTCCAGACGCACAGCGGTCACACTGCTGCCCCACCACCCCTGACAAACACAGACACTGACCCGACACTGGGTTGCATGTGTTGCCATGGGAACCTTCGGGTGAACATCGGCAGGCTGGTGACAGGAAACAAATTCGCTAAGAACGTTAGATAATAATAGCTATACTGTAATCAAATTTATTTCCATAAAAGGAAGGAATCCAAATATATCTCGTGTTTAAGTTCATTTAAGTGCCATGCAGATTACATGAATTTGGATGACGCAGTGGGATTTTGTGGGATACTGTGGGAGAGTGAGGACGTTTGCTCCACAGAGTCATGAGAAGAGGCCACATTTAAGTCCAGTGAAACCAGCATCCACATTTTTTCCACCACCGCTCAGATCAGCGGCACCCAGTTGTTTTGTCGATCATAATTAAACTGGTGGGGTATTGAGGGACCTGGACCCCACTCACCAGCACAGTCCGGGTATCCGTAGTAGCCTGGTGCACACTCGTCACACTCCTGCCCCCCGTAATTAAGCAGACAAACACACTGACCCCCGGGACTGCAAACACTGTCTGCCACGCCGGCCCCATCACAGAGACACGCTGAAAGATGAGGAAAAGGACGTCAGCTTTTGCCATTTTGCATTGCATCACAAAAACCAAAATGATCAATATAAGGACCGGTATTGCACACAAATAATTGATTGGTTGATTGATTGATACTTAATCCAGAAGCTAGTGCACATAGTCTCATGCAGTCGAAAATTTTATTGAATACAAAGTTGCTGAATAAACTTATTACTTATAACTTTCCACATTAACTCTTCCGGTCTGCTGCCTTTGTTTAAGTGCACATTATCATTTTTGAAAATAAAGGTCATGTTTCAGACTGACAAGTAACTGATATAAGGTTGTGCTTGTGCGTTTTGTGAAGGCTAATGGGCATGATTCTTCCTCACCCTGGCAGTTGGGGAAAACGTGGTATCCAGGTTGACAGCGGTCGCATCGCTCCCCCTCCACACCCTCACGGCATAGGCAGCGCCCCGAAGCGTTGCACACTGTATGCACAGTCCCTCTGTAGTCACATATACACTCTGTGCACAAACACATTAATAAAGGTTAAAACAAATTTAATCGTGATAAAAATTAAAAGTGATTTTGAGTCCTGAAGCCTGCTTATAAATGAGCCTGAGCTTTTTTCTTTAATGCAGAAGGAATGAAAAATACTTTCAGCACGTGAACTATTCCCATGTTGTGGCACACAATGGTACAGCCACACTGGTGCCTACGTCTTGCCAAGCTTCGCCTGGTATTGGTATGTGAATAGTCTTGGCGCTCATACTGGACAGCCACCAGCCCAGAGATGGCTGGTTTCTCTGTCCCTAAGCTGCTCCAATAAAATTAAAACCAGCTTTTTCAAAAGCTGCGGATAAAGTTCCTTCTCAACCAGCTCTCAGTTACACAGACAGGTTTAAAGACATTGCTTACATTGCTTTACAAATAATAAGCCAGAAAAAGTTTAGAGCCAAAGGTCTTTGTTTTGATAGAGATGCCATATTAATAACAATGAGTTTCCCAGCTTGGAGGAAACCAGAAAAGGGAATTTAGCAGGGGAGTCATAACTAATAATAGCGTGGTCAGCTCTCACTGCAGTCCCAACTGACTAACGCTAACACAGAAACACTTGAACTTAAATCCCCACTGATGGACAACAAAATTTAGGACCGTCGGACTGTTATGTGTAACAACTGCGAGGGCTCATCTGTCAGTGAGCAGAAGATTTAATGAGTCTGACAATGTTGTACCAGTATCTTAACCCTCCCATCAAACCCAGTCATAAAACAGAATACTGATAGTTCTGTTGTCATAAGAGTCTTTCATGACTGACCCCTGTCACATGTTCTTAACATTTAACTCAGTCAGACTCAGTGGTGCCTTAAATGGTCCTCTGAAGTCTTTCTAACAACCTGAGCCAAATGTGACTTTTTAGATACAGGATATACAAATAAAGTTAGCAATAAAAGTAGTAAACACAGCATAACCTTATAAACAACTCTACAGCAGCACGACATATCAGATCTACATATCAGACTCACGCTGACAGGGGGGTGGGCCGAAATAACCCAGAGGACAAACTGTTGGCAAAGAGAATAAAAAGGATGGAAAAAATAAATCAACAAAGAATTTCAACTGAGCATTTTAAATGATTATTATTTTAGAAATTACAAAACCTACTTACCCACAATAGGACCAGCAGGGGATTTGGTGGTCACTGGGTATATGGGATATCCTGATTTCAGGGACAAGTACAAAGTTAAGTTCTCCGCAGATAATAAACTGAGATTCCTTAAAAAACCTTTAGTACTTATCACAGTGAATAATTGCTTTTACTTTAAATACTAAAAAGCACAAAAACCAAGTTGAAGGATTTTCACAAAACTTGAATGCATCAATTTTTGGTGCAGATCCAGATCAGCAGATTCAGGACTATTTTCTTCACTTTCTTTAATATTGTGAGATAATGCTTTTTTTCTCACTATCACCAAATTCCCAAATCAGGCATAATTTGGGGGCTGATATTACATTACCTGTCATTTGGCGGACGACCACTCTACCCCTCAGCCACAGCCGCCCCATATGATATCTGTGTGTGTGAAATTTGCTGCAGCTCGACTGAATTTGACGTCTCCTAGCATTTAACATTTCCCATAATTTAGTGGCCATTTACAGCAAAAGTGACAAAATCTTGGTTTAAATGCTAAAATAAACAAGTTGAAGAAATTCTGTACAGCTACAAAAGCAGCAGTGAAGCATCTCCTTAAACACAGACAGCCTCCTAATGACTATCTACATGTTTAGACTAGTCTGTCAGTACAACAGGCTGGAGAAGAGACCCACCGTCTATAATAACCTCTAGTAATAAATCTACAGCTCATAAAATGTCTGGATTTAGTCTGCAACTAATTTCAAGTTTGTATGACAGAAGAAAGGGTACACCTTGGTGCAGATTGCAGATCTGTTAATGTTTATAATGATGCTATAAAACTAATATTAAAGCAAAAAAATGTGAAAAAGAAATGTGATCTTTATTTGGACTATTTTAACTAATTCAGTGAGATTACAGTTAAATTATGATGTAAATCACATCTCTGAGAAAAACAATGAATGTCAGTTAGATGTTTATTCAAAGTCCAGGAACACAGAAGTGGGATGCTGCAAGTTCATGGAGAGAAATCCCAAAAGGCTTAGTCAAAGCCAGGGAGGTAAAAAAAATACTCGAAAATATAACATGAAATACTGGCCATCTTATCTCTATACATCTGGAAGCCTCCTGAGTCAGATCACAATGAGATAAGATTGGGAAACTCTATATGTGTCTAAAATCTTCATGCTCTATATTTGTTTAGATGGAGGTATGGTATGTGGAATGTGCAGTAATGGTTAGTCAGTCCTGCAACATGTATAGACAACCTTCTGCATGAAGCCCTGCAGCATTAAAGGCATACCTCTTTCAAAAAGGCTTTGTCAAAAAAAAAAACTCCCCTCAAGGAGAAAACTGACAACCTGAAACATAAAAGGCTAAAAAAAAAAATAAAAAAAAGTAATGAAACTGATTCCACTCATCAGAGGGTGGGTATAGTCTCTCCTGACCCCATATATCTCCACCCTCCGAGCTCCCACACACAGACACAGGATTTTAATAAACATTGAAGTTGTCACTTATCCAAGATTCAGAGGTACAAGGGTAAGACCACCTGCCCCTTTCAGTTTGACAGTGTATTTTACTTGCAGCTACTACAGATGTGATTCTTGCCATATGACTTTCGGGATTTGCACAATAAAATTAAATTTTTAGCACATTCACTCCTATGCTTCCCCCTCAATTTCTCTATATACCAAGTAAGATTAATATTCTAATTCGAAAGATTACTTACGAATGCACTGTGGGTAGTAATAGTGTCCATCAGCACAGCGATCACAGTTTTCTCCAGCAAACTGTGGCTGGCAGATACACCTTCCAGACCCCATTTCACAGCCGGCTGTTGTCCTTTCATCACACCTACAGGCTGGTGGAGATCATGTTTGTATGATGAAATAATACTGCTCAGTTTTGCACAATCCTCACCTTATTCACCTCATTCACCTTGTTTCTGCCTTACTTTTAACATGTTCATATCCTTATTGTATTTTATGTAAATATTGTATTCTAATGTAAATTTTGGTCGGCTGGCATTCCAGAAAGGACAGCACAAGAATTTAATTCCACAGGGAAACGTGTGTTCTCTTGTGAATTTGACAATAAAAATCTTTGAATCTTGAATCTTTAAATATGACCACATATTAACAAGTGCATCAGTGTAGACAAATATATACATGTACGCCATACAGAGATTTGTAGGGGGATGAGGGGGATGCCATTCCCTTTAAACCATATGACCAACACATAACCTCTCACAACTGTTATTCCCTCTCAGCCATCCCCCTATCCCCTATGAGAGAGAGTGCTGCATGTGAAGATAGAGAATCCATATGTGCAGGTGAACATTCTACAGTTACACAGGCCTTCAGCAGCACCCGCAGAAATCCTACCTACTTTGCCGGCCGTCAAAACATCCATAAAGATGTTAACGTCTTCAGCAGGAAGCACTAATTCAGCTATTCAACTATTTAACCATGCAGAATCTCAAACTGAAAGATCTCAATAGCAAACAATGATTACTGAACCTTTACTCACTGTTTTTTGCCGAAACTAACACCTTCCGCTGCTGAGCTGACTTAATTCAGTTTTTGGATTCTGAGGTTTACTTAACAAAGTGCTCAGGGCAACAGGTTTAAATCCACTACTTTCTAATGTCTAAACACTGGCAGCTATTTATATGGTGAGGAGCAGCCATGGGCCATTAAAGTAATGTAAACAAGAGCAGAGCCTGGTTTAGCAATAATACAAGCGGCGGTGCCAGTGGTTGTTCAGTGGTGCCATTTGTGTCTGTCTAGAAAAAGACACTGATGCCTCCCCTTTGAATTGAACACTGTTTTGGCTTCACTAGTTAGTCATGCATTGTAGGTCAAATACCTGCATGGTGAGATATTACTTAGTTCGCAAACAATCTGGTGCTTTTTTATTCTAACAGACAGATTTAAAGGTTCAAGACTTACAAGAAAGTTGAGACAGCATTAAACAATAGATGAAGAAAAAGAAGTGGGAGCAGCTTGTAGGACTACTTACTTTGCCTCTAGTAACATAATCTTTGAGAGATGCTGATTTGCTGCATCCAAACTAGTGTTCAAAACTGTATCTGACATAGATAAGGCTCATAGTAATCTCTTAATAATATAACAGTGGCAACAAAATGATCTAAATGAACAGGTTCATATATTTAGAACAGAGTAGAATTTTGGTTTGGACCTTAGTCTCGACTTTTCAGTGTGAAAGCACTATTATATTCATACAAGACATTTTCTTGAACAAAAAACTCTGAAGATCTGAACTGAAAAATGTATATTTCAGTGTTACGGTTTCAAAGCCACAAACACTGAGGGAGAAAATGACTCACGTATGCATCCACTGGGAGACTCAGGAGGTACTGCATAAGGTCTGTAGAAGCCTTCAATGCATTGCTCACAATTCACTCCAGCAGTGTTGTGCTAAAGAAGAAAACAAAATAATGTGTGAGGCATCAGCCACAAAAAACTGAGAAAGCTGAGGATCATGAGAGTCACTTTTTCACTGCGCATAAGAATCTCTAGTTTATCGTTGCACATCGATCTATTTGCATTCTTGCATGACCTGCATTTGACAGAACATTTTGAAATATGTACTCCACATTTTACTTACAAGACTGAACATAACTTTATTTTGACACAACATTAAATTCTTGGAGTGAATGGAGGAAAGTGTGTAAATGGAAAAAGTATGTTTTGACCTCACAATCCCATGAGACACAGGCAACATGGATTATTTAATTGTTGTGCCTGTTCCACCCCTTCAACCACAAATATGCACACACACAGGAATCAGTTTAGACTTGATATGCATTTCATACCTGGCAGTGGATACACACTCCTCCTCCGTCGTACCTGCCGAAGGTGTCTAAACTTGCTCCCCTCTTTTCCACCTCTGGGTCATAATAACAGTCAAATGCATGGGAGAAACACTGGCAGGCTGAGGAGGAAAACCCCGAGACCCACACACACACCCACCCACCCACCCACACACACACCCACACCCACACCCACACACACAGACACAGACACACATATAATTATTCTATATGCCTCAGCAAATTAACCCCGACATCCTTGTCTGTGTTTAAGCACCTTAAGCTACTCATTTTCCCAAAAAATACTTAGAAGTGTAGTTGTAAAGAATAAGAGAAACTATAAAATCCAAACCAAACAAGACAGCACATCCTCTTCCTGTATCCCACCCATGTCTCATTAATGTTTATCAATGGGGCAGATGTCTTTCCACTTCATGGGTGCACTGATTGGATTGCAAGTCTTCTTCATCTTACGCTCTTTTGTGGGGTTGCTACAAGGTCATATGTTTTTCACAAACGGAAAGTAGTCCAAAGCCATTTAATCCCAGCTGATACATGGTCTGCTGGCTAAATGCATGGATCACAGATAAGCTGGCATGGGGGAGGATCTTGTAGGCTGTTGCAGGCCTGGTTAGCTAGCTCACTAGCTGCCCAAGAATACACAAAGCAGTTATCCTGCAGAGCTAGTTGTGCACTGTGCTGTTCATTACACGTGCCATTTTAGGACTGTCTTCTCAACACTACTGAGGCTCTCTACAACACCATATCAGGACATCCACAACAGGGCTTAAATATCAGGACAATTCAGTCCACTTGTGTGGGTTGTAATTCAGAGAGCCGGCAACATTAGGTGCAGCAGAGTGTGGTTGTGTTTACACATCAACTGAAGCACTGCACATGCATACTTACGCTGACATTCATTCGGGCTACTGACAGTTGCGGCACGCCATGGTTTCTGGTTAAAACCTGGGCAGCAGCGGTCACATGAATCGCCGCAGGTGTTGTGTTGGCACTCACACTGGAGTCTAAAGGCAGGAGATAAGATACATGGATTGAGTGTTTAGATTCTCATTTGCGTTGAGTACACACAGATATAAACCTGCATCAATTGATTTTTTAAAACAACTGAGGGGCAGAAAGCTGTAATACAACACAACACTAATGTTGTCACTATATCGTTGAGCAATTCCATACAAAAATATAAAAAATCCATACATCTTTAAAAACTGTTTACTTCAAAAGAGCTTGGAAAATAAACATTCTTAATAAATTGTCATATGTGTTGTTTGGAGTGTTAGTGAGGTGCCCTGATTTATTCTTAAGGACAGGAAAAGGAAAATTCAGGGACCAATCAGATTTCCTCTGGGACCCGTCCCCCCTCTGATACCACCCCTGGGAGAAATCATTCAGATTTCCCAAGTTACCACAAAACCTTTCACTAGAGTGCATATCTCTACCAATGCCCAACAATCCCCATAAATTCAATTAAGCTGCACCTAATTGCACACACTCATAAAAATCTGTCCCCTGAACATGCCAGATCTGTTTCATCAAGATCCCTGAATTTTTCCTCAGAGAAATGAAAAGCGAAAATGTTGAAAAACACTCGCAATCTTGGCGTAGGTGAAAAAAAACTTCCTGGAATCACGACAAAATGTTGTAGGTTCTTCCTTGGTTTATGCCTCACCCCTCCACAAAATTCAAATTAGTGTTTGCACAATCCTGCTAACTAACAAACAAATAGATGAAAACATAACCTCCTTGGTGGAGGTAATAAACACAATGAGGGATTCATGAATCTGACATTGCTTTGTTGCTCCAAAACAGAATGTTATCCCTCATCGTTTTGTCTCTGCCGCTGTTTACAAAGTCTGAGTCTGTAATCAGAGTGAGTTAAATAATCTGCTGCTTTCTACAATGGTGATTGATATCAGCGTACAAACATATGAGGGCCTCATGCCTCAGAAACAATTCATTCCCCATCTCTCAATTCAGTGGTAATCTGTGTGGTCTTTGTGGAGCTCACTGCGCACAGCAACTCTGTTAATGAATACATACAAATTAAATGATTATCCAGCTCAAGTCTGACTTAATGATTTACATTTTGAAACACCCATAACAAACCAGTTCAGGAAAGTTTACTAGTTAAAACTTTCCACATGAAAGTTTTGATGTGATGATAAAAACAAAGAAACCTGGAGTGAGGATGATGATGATGATGATAATTAGCATTTCTTACCTGTTTGGGTTGTCAGGGTTACGCTCCCCGCCACACACCTGTGCGTGGCCATGACAAACGCAGCGTCCACCGATGCTGATGTCTTTGACGCTATAGTAGTACTGTCAACAACAAAAAACATTATCATCACCACGCCATTTTAAAATAGCGGCAGTGTCATCGGCAGCCCAGCAGCATCACCCACAGCTTGTCATTGTGAGGAGAATCGTGCAGGTTGACAAGTACAGACATAAATCATTACCCAAGAGCAGAGGCTAGCTTCCTTGTGGTGAATCAGTGCATGATAAGAACAGAAAAAAATAAGATAATAATCAACAGCTGACATCACTTCACTGATTAAATAAAAATAATCTATCAAGAAAATGACACTCAGTGGAGCACATACCTACGCAAAGGTCCAAAAGTCCCCTTGAATTCAATCAAGCTGCACCAACACACTTATAGATATCAGTATCCTAAATGTGCCAGATTTTTTTTCACCAAGATCCATGCATTATAGGAAAACAGCCACAACAAAATTCAATTCCTTGATGCCCATACTGCATCCTTACACACAAGTTTCATTGAAATCCATTCACCGGTTTTTGTTTAATCTTACAAACAAAAAAACACAGGAGTGAAAATACAACCTCCTGGTTTAGCCAAAACTTTTGTATACAATAAGGACCATAGTCTTCAGTTTCATTCGCTCTGTCACTGCTGGTTTTTACTAACATACAGTTTGTGCTCCTGCTTTAAGGAAAGGTGCCATATTCTGCACCTGCAGCCTATGTGAGCTGTCCAAACCAGTAATCTCAGAGGAATGACTGCAATGATTGGACAGATCTGGCATTGGGCCTCATCGAGGATGAATGTGTGAGCAGAGGAGGGCAGGCCACTGTGTTTGTGTCAGCAGAAAGAAGGCTGGAAGCTGGCTGGTGCAGAGCTGTAAAATGGGCTCCCCAAATGGGAAAATAGCAACTGCCAGAATGACACCTTTTTGTGAAGTCGTGGAGTGTGTGCTCTCACCCTGCGTGTTACAGTGGGGTCTCTCTGGGCCTTGGAGATGAGGTGGCCCAGCAGGGTGCTGGTGCGGAGGAAGTGTAGGCGGATGTTGGTGGCCTTCGTGAAATCTCGCAGCACTGGTGAGTAGGTGAAGTTTTTGGACCCGGGTCGACCATTGACCAGAGACACCACAATCTGGATAAAATGGAATTTATTTCACACAGGTCTTTTTATTTACCGAATAAAATATAACAAATGGGGTTTGATGTGATGTTTAACCTCTCCGTTCTCCAAAGGCACGGTCCGTGAGTACTCTGTGGTGCACAGCTGGTCGTCATCATTTAATACACGAGCATTGGGCTGCTTTCGGAACTTTTCAATACACTCACGTTTGGAATCTGCAAAAACAGAAAATAACAAGGATCACCTCAACTCATTTTCTAACCTTTTGTCATTTTAACATATACTGACATTAATATCAGACAGTTACCCTGAATCCCCAATATACTTGCATGTCCTGGGCATAGTGGACAGTATGATGTGAGTAATAGTCAGGCTAAGAAATATTTGAAGAGCAACTGATATAATGTCTTGTACCCCTTCACCAGTAATTAAAATAGATAAATCTAAAATGGAAAATGATAAATGAGGAAACAAATCCATCAAAAGCAAAACCTAAGGCTAAATATGAATTAACCAAGTCGTCTATGAAGTTAAGTAATGTGTGTGCACAGGTGTCTCCCAGATATTAGACATAACTCAGACATGTTCATTCAAATGTAGAATATTCTACACAGACACACACACACAGACACACAGACACACAGACAGACAGACAGACAGACAGACAGACAGACACACACACAGACAGACAGACAGACAGACAGACAGACAGACAGACAGACAGACAGACAGACAGACACACACACAGACAGACAGACAGACAGACAGACAGACAGACACACACACACACACACACACACACTTCATAATTGGCCTTTTTTCACTGCAGACATTTTGACTTGTCTTGGCAGGAGAGGCAGTGTGTAATTAATAATAGTTGGAAACCTAAACAGATCTGAGCCATCATAATTTGTTAAATCCGCGTGGGCAAAAAGTCAAAATGTCTATGAAGAAGGTATATTGTACATGAGTGTGATGATTCTAACAAGAGCAGCTAATAATGATTCAACAGCTACTCATCACTACGTCAATCAATCAATAAATGCAATAAGATTAGATCATTTGTACTATAAGTACAGTATATTTATATATATATATATTGTTTCAACATTTGATTCATAGCACAAGTAAACAAAGTGTTGTGTAAGAGGCGTGGTTTTGTTTTGTTTTTCAGAACATGATAAAAATGAAGGCATTGCCAAATAGAAAAACTACCACAGTGACTTACGTGCAAAATACTGCCAGGGGGTGAAGGTTCTCCCATAGTCCACTGAGCGCTCTAGCACCCACAGGTCAGGACGAGGTGAATTAGCAAACTTGATGAGGATGTACGCCACATGGAAGAGCTGAAAAAAGAACAACACAAAGAACAAGCTAAACAAAAGGCAGTGAATGCTCTGAACGGATTTGGCAAAACGTTGTCGTTTCCTTGCTCTATTAAGTAAGGTCCCAATCTTGGCCAGCAACACTTATTTCCTTCCTTGCAAAAGCCTGGGAACTAATTCAGCTCAGATGCATCTCTGGGAATTTAAACATTACAATTAAATCAAGGTAAGGGCTTCCGGTTTTGAGCTTTTTCATTTATGATGCTTGACAACAGCGGTACGTGCGTTGCTGTACGGCAAAGTACAAACAATAGTTTTCAGCAATAAAAGTGGTGCAGGTGCAGCCAGGTTGGTGAAAAGACATCAGCTAAGCCCACATGATCCACGTCCGTTCTCTGAACTCCCTGTGTCCTACTTCCGTCAGAGTATACAGGGAATATAATGCATTATTGTTTCGACCAACAGTGAGCTTTCTGTGAGGCTCTGAAGCTCAGAGCAGTTTTCTTTGCAGATCATTAACATCCTCATCAAGCCCTGGACGCGGGCGACTTCAGCTTGATTGAACATTGTTCAATGGAAAGGTAATTTGTGAAAGTCAAAGGTCTCTTTGTTACACCCTGTATGGACATTGTATGGCTTGGAATTCAAACCCTGCACATAACACCTACAGTGTCAACAAAAGGCCTCAACCACAAACCTGACCACCACACCCTGTCTACAACCACAGTTTATTTTATGCAATATCAGAACTGGCATGCACGATGAACTCGCACATGCTGAACTTATTTAACTGTGCAATACATAATTATATTGTTTTGCTTTGTCTAACTTTTTGACTGTCCTCTTTGCTGCTGCAACACATGAAATGTACCCATTGTGGGATTAACAAAGGATTATTTTATTTGATTTTATCCTAGAGTAACATTAAAAAACATGGCACTAAAGGCATTTTTGCTAAACTTGTGCTAATGCCCCCTGAATAATATTGATTAGATGAGTATTCTTTTTAATTTAAATAAGATATAGAAATAGACATTTTCAGGCCCACACCTGCCTCTCATCCCTTAGAACCTCAATGAAAACCCCAGCGGGCATTCGAGGCATTCTATATTTCTGTCTCTCTTTACATGAGGCAGGGAGCTATGCGAACATATCAAAGCAAAGCAAAGCCTTTGCTGTTAAGTCATGGACTGTGTCAAGAAGAATCCACAAGGATTGGGCCCCTCTCCATCCATCAAGAAGTAATGGCCCCAGGTTCAAGTAGTTCTTAGGTTGACAGATTGTGAGAGAGGTCAGAGGTCAGCTTGGGACTGTCTGGCCTTGTTCACTGAAAACTGTAAACAATCCCTAACTGCAAAACAGCAAAATCATCAGGAACAGTCTTTGACTTGACTGGAGTTTGTGGTCATTGAGCCATACAGTCGGTCTGTGATTTACAGAATAGCTTGAAACACCTCCTCCTGACCTAGTCTTTGAAAAGGGTGTGTTTTGAAATTAATCAGAGTACACTTCCACCCATGGAACAGGATGCTCAAAGAACAATAAAAAAGAGACTAACGGCACACACACACAAACAAGGCGTAGGCTGTTCCGGCTAAAAATAGAAGACACAGGTTTTGCAGTGGCACTGCCTACTATCAATATGCCGGTTCTGCTACAAGACCAGAAGGAAGTTTAGTTCACATGGTTTGCTATGATGTCAAAGGAGGGCCAGGGATTAGGAGGCAGGAGGGTGGTGAGATGGAAGTAGGGGGGGTCTGGCGAGCTAGAGACGTGCTGGCTGGCATGTGGACCCATCTCAGATTCCAAACATAGCGCCACATTCCCCTTCGCTCCGAATACCCCCAAAGCAGAGCATGCGACTGCTTTCAGGAACCTGTCGCTGACAGCAACACACAGTAGTGAAAATCCTCTCCACCACTTGTCATGGACACAGATGAATTTTTTATAGTTTCAAAGAATAGGTATCCTTCATTATCCTTTAAAAAAAACTGCTTATGCTCTGATCTTTAGTGCAGTCGGACACAAAATGTGTGTTCTAAGTTTTTGGGTTTGAGTTTTGGCATTTCTCTACCTTTAGTCTTTCCAAACATGAAAAATAACACAACACTATAAACAGAGGAGGCTGCAAGTCACATGTTCAAGAACATACTCTGTATAAATTGTACTTAAGCTCCTGGTAAACAAGTGAAAAAAGCTGGTTCTGGTGTGCAAATACAATGACTTTGAATCTGACAACAGCATCTCATGACAACCTTAATAGACATTTCAGTATTGAAATACACTAATTTGCAGGTGTAGGACCAATAACTCTATATTCCAGTATTTTGTGTAATGTAGTTATTTAGTTGTTAAAGAGATTCTATCTGAAAGGCTGTGCAATGTTGTGATCAGGATATGAATACAACTAAATTCAAACTTGATTGTTGCTATTTGTAGTTTTAAAATATTCATGCACTGACACAGGCACATACTGTATGTTAAAAAAAGGGGGGGGGGGTCAACTTTCATAAAAACTGGAATTACCGTCCTGCAGATGTGTTCCTCTGATAACCAGTGCAGTTTTAGTCTACGTAAAAAACATTCTGACTAATTTGAGGTCACTGTGACCTTTGACCACTGCAATCTCAGCAATGAATCTTTGAGTTTAAGTAAGTGAAAATATTTGCATATTCCCTGAACACAGACTTGAGATAACATGTTAAAGAGGAGAAAAACAGGTGAGGTGAATGTCACTTTTACCTTTGACCCTTGAACACCCAAATCTGATCAGTGAATCCATGAGTCTAAGTGAACATCAGCATTCCCTCAAGGATCACAAAAAAAACTTGAAATAATGCCTGTGGCTGTCACTGGCTCGCAGGCATAAAAACCACATCTATCCTAAACAATGTGATGTCATGTGATACTAACTTGATGCCAATAACTAATCCTCTGGAAACAAAAAGCCAGTCAGAGACAGACATCGTGGAGTACAGGGAGGGCCTGTCCTGACATGGCATTATTTAATGTAAGACGTGTCCCTCCAACTGCTGCCCTGCCAGTATAAACACACACTTTTGAAATATGTCAGCTACATATTGTTTGGACAAAGCATAAATTAATATGGCGATGGCATGCTAAGCGTAGCAGCAGAAGATTCCGGTGGCGTAGAAAGACATGAAACAGATTGACAGGCTCGTGGCATAAAGAAGAAAAACACCTGAGCAGAGCCATCATCTGCCCCTCCCTGCAACTGCAGCCTCAGGCTTAAGACAAGGGTGGCATGACACATGAGAGATTAGTACAGGAGGATGCTGCATGGTGGGTGTAAAAAAGGTCAGGGGTCAAGCTGTGATATGGACTGTTTGACAACCACCCTCGACACCCCCTCCTCAAATTCCTGACCTTGACCCCCTACAATAGTGTCACATATACAAGGTATAAAGTATCCAGTCCTCCTCTAACCTACCACTTAACACAGCGTGGCAACGGAGCCAAACCACGTCCCTCATGACCAAACACCATTTTAACAGCAACATATTAACATATTTTACACTTGCAGCAACATGACAAATTATTTTGACAAACACACGTGTCAGTCACATCACTTTTAATCTGTTGACACTTTATATGTCATGCTCAAAGTGTGTTTCTGTTTTATTGATAAGTTAATTCCTAGTTTGGGTGTGACGACTAAAGTATGATAAATGTGCACCCTCGAGGGGACAGATTTCAACGAAACTTGGTGGGAGGATGTGGTATGAGTCAGGGAAGAACCTTTTAAAATTTTAATGTGAAGCCGTATTAGGGGGCACATTCTTTTTCCACTTTCATTATATGCAAGATAGATCTTTAGAATTTCGAGAACAAAGTCATAATAGTACGAGAATTAAGTTTAATTCGTTTTTTATCTTCAACATGGCCATGATACAAAGTCCTATCAAGGGAATAATTCATGAATCTTGATTTTTTTTTTAATCAGGCAAATTCAGGGGACAGATATATATAAATATATATGAGGGTGGGTAGTTTGGTGCAGATTCAGATTAAAATGTGGATCTAGTGAATTTAAATGTGGTTTCATAGGGGACTGGTTGACATGGGACAGGGATTCACTTTCCTCTACATTTTTACTGATTTCCCAGGCAATAATTCATGGATCTTGATTAAAAACACATTTTGGGAATTGATACTTATGAGTGAGGGAAATTTAGTGCACCTTGATTGAATTTAAGGGGACTACTGGGCCTTTATTTCACCTATTTGATTATTGTGTAGCTCTGATAGGAGATACTATATGCTACCATAATAAAGTATAAACAAATGTGACATGAGAAGCAAGCTAGAAATCTAGCATAATGTATATATGTACATTTTCAAGAGTCAGATAGTGAATATCCTCCTCCCAAAGGGCACAGGAGAGCCGGGCATCTACAGTGAGATCAGAGCACTGACAGATAGAAGCCCTCTGAGTGAGCTCCTGAGAGTTTGACGTGAGATCAGAAGAATGAAACTCAAAGGAGACGAGGCATCTCCTCCTGTTTGAGCGGATCATCCAGACAGACAGTGCATGCTGCTGCCCTGTGGGGTGAAACAGTTGCCCTGTGCTTTGTAACAATGCAATGTACAACTGTTTGTCTGTGCACGACAGGTGGGCGGTGGAAGGGGAGAGGGCTATTCTGGTGTATTTTTCTCTGTCTCCATGACAGAATTAGTTATATGGTATCAAAGCACAGTTGGCTTAAAGTCACAAGAGAATAGTAGTTGTAACAGAAAACATATACAGTACATGCATGTTGCTACTTGTTAGCAATGTTCTCAGTGTAAAAGCCTGAGGTGCAGCAGCACAATTATATATGTAATTTTTTCACTGCCTTCAAGTAGGTTTGCTTCTTTATGAAAGGTTGATATCATAATATAATAAGTTTTATGGTTATATTGTGAAATAGCAAGCCTTTGATAATGACATCTTAAAAATTGTTAATACTTTTTTAATTTGTATCAGAAATTCTTTACTCCCTCATATCGGTATTGGCATTTGCCCGCAAGTTCGAGTGAAAGGTTTATATCGGGCAATGAAAGTATTTTTAGGAAACAGTATTTTTTACTGCATTTAGTTTTATTACAACGTAGATGATGCCATGAAATCGATAAACGAGTGAGAAGTTTTATATTTTGCTATTTCAATTTTTTTAGAGTTAGGTTTTTCACTGCAGGACAAAAAAATCATCTTTCCCTAAAAACTTTTTAATGCAAGTAAAAGAAACTGTAAGAATGACTGTATGAATGTATATGAAAATATTAAATCTATATAGCCTTTGTTTCCATGTAAATTATGGCCCGCTGTTGAATGTGTGTCAATGGAAGTATGGCTATTCGTGAAACAGCTGTATTTAATGTCTAGGAAAACTCCATTGCATCAAAGCCTGCGTCAGTAAACCTGAAGCCACTAATTACCTCTTCCATGTACGAATTAACGACATGGGCCTTGAAAAGGTGAATAAATCCCATGTTAAACCCCACAATCTTTTCCTCATCGCTGCTCCAGATTTAGGAGATGTGTGATGCACTCGCCAAGCCAGACAGCTACTGCTGCCACACGAGGTGGCTGTGAGTGGAGTAGTAAATATCTGCTGGGTTGGCCTGGCGCCTTAGGCAGTGTGGCTAAAGACAGGCACTTACATCACCTCCGTCGTCACTACAGCAATAGGGACGTGTCTAACAGCCAGTCCTGTCTCTGGGGTCGGCTGCATGTGAGCAAATCTTCATTAACAAACTCAATTATGTAGATAACAGTCATTTCCTTCCATCTTGTTTTTCTGTTGATTTATATAGAAATCACATGGAATATAGGTTCTATTTATAGCCTGCATGATTTTATAGGATGAAGTCCAGCCATGAACACTGGATCTGTACCCACAGGGTCCTCCATGCATCCATGATCCGAGCATCATGCTTGGTTGTGTCTGAATGTTTATTCAGTTAGAGAGCTGATGCCGGGGGAAAGTGGAATATCAAGACGTCTGTGTTTGTGTGTGTGTGTGTGTGTGTGTGTTTTCTGTTTGAGTATTTTCTCACCACCAAATTACACCACCTCTCCATTTCTATATCCATTTATCCAGTGAAAAGAGAAGACCGGGTCATTTTCAGCAAGGTTTAAAGAGAGCTAAACCTTTGTGAGAGTCCGAGAGCACAGAAAGGATGTCACACAATACCGCCTAGAAGGATTCCAACACAAAAGGAGGCGACGGCTGCAAATAAAACATTCAACCCCACTTTGGTGGGAGGTGGACCCCTGAGAGAGGGGATTAGGTTCCAGGGAAATGTCTCTAAAATTGAGTTCTTGGAAGCTTTGTCTGTCGTTGATTGCAAAACTGAGAGCAGAGCCAAAGCCACTGCACTAACCCGAACCAGATCGTTTCTGTCTTCCAGCTTTAGCATTCGAGTTATAGAATCTCGCACTCATTCACAGCCCCCAGGAGAAAAGCATGTACAGTATATGCAACGGCATAGCCTCCTGGGTAAATACACCTATTAATCATAGATAAACAACAAGATGTTCTGCAATCTGAGTCCAGTTAAAGCGACAAAACCACTGCACAAAGCTCCACCATCAACACAACAAACACCTGTCGCCCACAGGAATAATCCACAGCCTTAACATTCGTATAAAAATACCATTCAAGTCCGCTGAACATCTAATCAGAATAATAATGCGCGATGTTTATTTGGTGCCCGACACCCACCAATCAGATGTGGCAATGTCTCATCAGATGGGAGACAGACGGCAGTAAGCTCTCAAACCATGTTTGGCTCACATGGTCCACACTGAGCTCACTCAGGCAGATAAGCACATGTGGTCGGGGCTCCTAAAATACATTCCCCCACAGAAAAGAAGTGACTGGCAGTGTGATAGATGGTGTAAATGTTTACCGGAACAATGGCTTGCCTACTGTGTCCTGTAAATAGTTTCACAGGGGCAAAGGTTCCTGGAAATGTAGCTAGTGTTTTGGGGGAGACGATTAAATAATAACTTTTTTCACCAAGGTACATCAAACGATTATTCATCTGTAAAAAATAATAATTTAAGATTTACCACAGTATTTGACCATGCCATTTGACTTCAACCCCCAAAGTTCAACCCAAGGTTACAGTTGATGATCCCCCTTAAATATCTACTTACAGTTAAAATTATTTTGGAGCAATATCTCTAAAAGCAAACAAGCTGGCTTTATCTGTCAGACAGGAGCCAACTGAAAATCATGGGTCATAGGGCAGAAACAAGGAGTAGCTGGTCTGCTCACGTCAGCAGGTCTAAGACAGAGAGATTATCCATAGGAGGTTTTGATCTGGAGGAGTAAAACAAAAGTGATCATGTCACTGGTGCACTCAGCCTGAAGACTGTTTGATAAAAGTAGCACCAGGATTTGGAAACAGGTTGCTTGAATGAAAACTGGAGTCTCCAACCCTGCTCGGGCCTCTGTACTAAGGCACAGCAGTGCGGCAAATGGTAATATCAGCTTTTTAACCTGCCCACAATGACAATGATGTTTATCAGGGCCCTGTTTCAGAAGATAACTCTGAACCTCAGAGTTTCAGGTTCCAGAGCAGCTGATCTGAGAAACTTCCATCTCAACTCTGAGAATATTAACTCTGAGTTAATTAACCACATGCAGTAAAAAAAGAAAGAAAATTGTCAATGAAGCGTGTCTCTGGCAATTCACCATAGCAACGGGTAAGTAAAGAGAGGAGCTTCCATTTAAAATCCAGTGGAGGTGGGACGAGCTGCTGCAGTGCACTCATTCACCCTGAACAAAAAACAGTGGCAGAGAATGTAATTACTTCTAAGTCATAAACCAACGTGTTGGTCAAACCAAACTTAGGACCTGATGATAATGCAATATGAAAAGTCATAAAAATTCTGATTGGGGCATAAATGTCTCTACCAAATAAAATATTAATGACGATCCCTCGTTCGCCTGTCAGGACAAAAACTCAAATCTGTCAACCTCATGGTAGTGAGACCTACTGTAGTATAGGGTAAATGAATGTTAACACTTTAATGTAACTTTTTAAATACAAAATATAATTTACGCTCCTTTTTATGGTGGTTTACTCACATGTTATTTATAGGTGACTGAAGTTTATCCACAGCGTGAGAGAGCTGCCCAAAAATTATTGTTTCTCCACCTTTTTTACCACTACAGCCCTGCATGTGAGTACAATCTGTGGGTCATGGATGTAAAAGATTTCCGCACTGTCGATTTATCAGTTTGTGAAACATTGCGGCGCAAAAGAGTTTCCGAGACTAAAAGCCTGAGTTCACTTGTAGTCCGATTATTCTTTATAGTTGTTTAAACAATCTCTCTTTACAGAAAAAGCGGAAGAGGCTGTCAGAAAAAAGCCCCTCTCTTTGAACCTCATCGTTTTAACATAAACATCAACTATGCCGCTATCTTATATATCTACTGAGAGCTAACAGCAGACCAGCCACCTGCGTCAGCCTTGAAAGAAACCACAGAAACCATTCAGCTGAGTCTAGCCCACATATTGCATTGAATGCTAGCTTTGTGGATTAAAAGAATAAAAGAAAAGAAAAAATCCCCAAAGCTATTAAAGCCTCACATGGAACAGTCAAACAATCTAACAGCTCTGTCTTGGATAAAGCATGAGCGTGCATTTGCAGGGTGGAGGAGAGCAGTAAAGCACAGTGGTGGGGGGGGAAAAAACACTTACTTCAACTCAGGGAGACACCTAAAGAAAAAAGACATTTAAATCCAAATGATAATATGGTAAATGCACATATAAGCAGCCATTAAATAATATTTCATTTTGAGAAATCTATTGTCTGTTGGCAGTAAGTGAGAATGCTGAGTTTGCTCGTTTGATACAACAGAGGTTAGGTAAAAGAGTAAATTACAAATCTGTCCAAAACACACCACAATCTCCCATTATCCTTCACAGAACAGGTTAACAAGATTTGAGTTATAACAACCATGCGGCTTAAAATGCAGTGGTGGCAGGTGAGCATTGTTTACAACAGATGCCATCGAAAGAAAATTTGATAAATGGCAAGTGTGTGTTTGAGGGGGGACAGGGTGTTGTGTGGTTGGTCGTCAGATATCCAGCCGGGCTCTTTTTAGCACACCATAACGCAAACCCTGCTCCCAAATAAATTGAGCATTACCACGTATTAAAGCCAGACTTCCCCAAAGGCTGTGCATGTGTCCATCCTCTTGTGAGCTATATTTAGCCATGTAGGATCTCTGCTCAGCTCAGCCCGTCTAAAAACAGAGACAGAAAAGCCCATACCCATTGTCTGACGCAGTGCCCACTGGGAGCCAGAGATGCAAACAGAGAAGCTCTTCACTTGCTCTCGTATTTAAATCTAGCACTAGACATAGTCGAATCCCTGCTCAGACAAGAGGTCGAGGCCTCCACCTGCACTCCTCAAATCTGATTTCACATCCTCCTGATCCCTAGTCCATAGCCAGAATTCCTCTCTTTCCTCACAGTGTATAATTGAGCATGAGGTACGGTTTCATGGGGCCGCGAGCCAAACTCCTGCCAGAGACACAGGTCAAGATGGAAGCATATTCACCAGCCAAAAAGGCGTGAATCTGATTCCTGGAAAGCAGCCAACTGTAGGACAGGATTCACATGATCACTGCCGGCTGAGGTGATGAACTGAAAAACCTTGTCATGTAACACCATTGTCATATTTGTGAATGAAGTGGAATGAAGGACCATGAGTAAGAGAAACTTTCTTCCAAGCATATGTCCAAAAAAAAGCAGCAGCAAAGTACTAAAGAAGAATATGATGTAAAAATGGATTTTCAGCTTCCTCACACACTTGTCAACTCATCTCACAACAGCAGAGTAAGAGGCAGAACACTTTCTTTCTCTCGCCTCTGCAACACCCAGGTGCTATATTTTACTGAAACCACAGAACAATCATTATACACAGTGCAGGTTGCAGCAGGTTACCAGCTGTTCGTAGCAGATCACGGAAGTATTTCAATCTCACCTGCCCAAGGTCCAGGGTAACGTTCACCTCATTGTACCCCAGCCCCCTGGAGAGAGGAGGGCTCTGCCACCACCGCTCTGTCCCGTCGATGGCGTTGGTCACCGGGTGGGCTTTGTTTGGATCAATGGAGTTGCAGGAATCACAGAACTGACCCTGAATGGTGTCAAATTAATCGAGATTTAGAAACACACACACACACACACACTCAAATAACCACAGCAAACTCATGTTTTATAAAGGAGCAATGTCTCAGCAAATTCCTGATGTACACTGAAAAAAAGAAAAATGTTGGACCAACTTAAAATTTTACTTCAGTTGGCAAAACAGCATTAAGTAAGTTTGTTCAAAGTAAAGTTATCGATTTTTTTTTTTTACACAACTGATAACTTTCAGTTGAAAAACCAAAACCAATTGAAGTGTTTTTAAGCCAGTAAACCATTTTATTGTGTCAGTGTAGCTTCCTGCAAAACATTGCAAACACAACTAAATATAGAGTTCAGAAAGGCATGTCATTGTCAAACTGTTCTTATACTAAGGTAGCGCCCAACATTAAAACAACTACTGAGGGTACAAGACCACTGTTGAAAGACATTTCCTTCAGAAAACTTGGGACTTCACAATCAATTGTGTACAACTATTTCTGGCACTTGTACAACTTGGTCATGTGGGCAGAATTGTCGAGGTTCCTCTACAGCAGTGGCACAACATGGAACCGGAGGACCAGGTTAATAAAATTAAAATAAAATAGAATTTTACACAACGGTTAAACTTCCTGTTGTGTACCAGTTCAGAATTTGCCCATTACAGGATATATAATGCTGCAATTTCCCTTTTACGCAAGAAGCTGTCCACATTTTTACCTGTATATTTTGAGTAGGAAGTCCAAAGTTTGGTCCTCCGACGAGCTTACAGTATAAATCATGTCTCGGTCTCCCAGCCTCATCCTCGCCGCAGGTTGCTGTGGCAGAGATCCGTGAGCTCTGAGCGAGGTTGAAATACGGAGGACTCAAACTAAAACCTGTCACTGCGTTAACAGACTCTTGACCATTCGCGTCCCCGAAAAGCGCCACCGTCCAAGTAAAGACTGCGGCGAGGAGAAGGTGAGCTCCTCTCATGCTGCTCGCCATGTTCCACGTTTTTCAGAGTTCCCTGTAGATGCTGAGAACGACCCGCAGAGCACAGGTCTTGTCATTTGGAGATCTCCATCAAACGCGCGTAATGGGTGCGCGGCTACAAACGCGCGGGGGCTCTGCCAGTGGGACCACACATCCGCTTGTGCAGAACAAAAGTTTTAGGTTGATGTTCTCTGCTCTCCTGCTGGAGGTGCGCTCTCTTTCTGCCGCATGTTGACAGCAGCGCCAGCTCTGCGTCTTCCTGCACACAAACTGTGCGCCAAGCTTTGGAGCTATCAGGTGTCAGGCTCAGCTCCACGTTTGTCCACATGAGGCCGAAGGTCTCTGCACTTTACACTCATGCCGTCAGCAACACGTCCTCTTAACTTTCAACTTTATATTAAGAAAAGAAACAAACAAACAATCTACCTACAAGATTAAAAGTCTCAACCCACAAGATTGTGTGTACATATAGAAACTTATGTAAAACTATTCTGCCATATTTATGGTATTCTAACAAAACAGAAACCAAAAATATGCAAATGGTTTACAAATGAAAATGTTATATTTTTGTTATATTTTTATAGTTTTAAAAGTATAATGTTTGCTCTTTGGATCACAGGAGCACTTAACATGTTGGTATCCACAAGGAAATCTAACAATGGTCTTGGGGCGACCTCTCGTGGCACAGACCGATATCGCATTACCCAGAGTTGGAGTGGATTTTACTGTCCCACATGATTCCCATTAAAAGTGACTAATTGTGAAATTCTGAATGGGCCACGTTCATCCACACAGGCCAAAACTCTCCTATCACTGTTTATACTGTGTCCAACCGGCAAAACGTTCTCTTTCGTTTAAGTTTTACGATAAAAAATATTTTAAAATATTTATTTAGTCACTGTGAGAAGTTTGGGGGAATTTCTAAAGCATTTCAACAAAACAAAAAATGATGTTAATAAAAATGGAACTGTATTCGAAGGTTGTTGAAACAGATTGTATTCAAATGTATTTTATATTTTTCATAAACTTAATATCCTTCTTCATATATCTATAGTTTTGGTATGACAGTAGAATGTTAGCTCTTGGGATCAAAGGAACCCTACGCCTGTTGACGTCCCACAAGGAAATCTAACACCGATCTTGTGGCGACCTCTAGTGGCACAAACTGACATCACATGACTCAGTGGTGAAGTGGAATTTTGTGTTGTCCCGTCACAAGACTTTCCAGGCACGGACAACACAAACGACTCGTTTTCTGTCTTTTTGTCTTAAATGTCTTCATGTCTTGTATTTCTTGTGTTGTTGAACATGTCCACTGTCCCAGATGATTTCCCATGAACTCATTGTGGAATTCTGGCGGTTCTGTCTCTATTTAGGTCATCACGACTCAGGAAAACCAGTGTTGCCCTCGCAACTTGCTCCACAACATCGTGACTCAGACATTTAGAGACAGACTGGGTTTCATTCCTGAGACTGGGCAGGCAGCTTTCTTGAACGCATGTCAGTGCTGAGGGGAGTGACAATAAACAACCAGGAACTGGCTGTGTGTCGACGGGATAGATGAAACAAGACTGGTGGGGATCCCAGGTCGAGTGTGAGAGTGTTTTTAATCCGCTGCCACATGGATCCAACGAACCTACAGGTAGGATGATGTGTAACTCTCCTTGAAAGTGCAAATATCCAAGTTTGTAACGAGTGTGTTAACTGTGTAGGAACGAAAGTGCGTTCTGACAGGTTTCGTTTTGTCAGAAACTTCAAGTATTTCTAAAGATGGCCCACAGTGTGCTTAAGTTAAACAGTTTACCATACTTGTGTCAATATGTCTGTTCTGCAAGAGCCAACTGAACTTCATCACAGAGTAAAAATACTCACTCACATCGAGTCTGTGGATTCAGCTGAGCTCTGTGAAATTATTCATTAACAGGTTTTATGAAATCACCTACTTATGGTACACACATGCTATCGTTCTCTTCTTGATAAAAATAGAAGGAACTCGCCTGATGTGTTGATGGAAATATGGGGGGGATTCCATGGTCAGGTAGACTGCACATAAAATAATGTATTAAGTAATATTCTGCTGTTTGTGGCTTTTTGGAAAGACAGTTGCCTTACTGTTGAAACTCCAATTCTGAAGCAATTTTTTCTACACTAAAATCCTTTTGGGAAAATCAAAAATGTTCACTGAATGGGATTTCATTTCAAAAAGTTAAATGTAAGCAGCTTAAAAGATGCAATGTGTATGATTTAGGTGAAAGTGAAATTCTTATTAGTGTGTAATAATGTCTGAACTGTTGTTTTCTTTACTCTTGGTCCTTTTATATAGAAATGCTTTATATTTACATCAGGAGCGGGTCCTCTCTACGTAGGCCGCCATGTTTTTTACAGTACTGGACAAACTAACACCTTTATTTTGTAACTTCACCACTGGATAACACTAGATTCTACACACTGAAGCTTTAAGAACTTGCTGAGATCACAGTGAATGGAATTTAAAACCTATATGTCAAGTAGAACAGATACGATGGAACACAAGATTCCCAGAATTGCACTTCCATAGGGGAAGTAGCCAGAATAAACCTTGAAATGTCATATTACCCTGCAGTTACAGGCAGAGACAATCGACAATCAGTTATCAGTTGCACATTGATTTGGGATTTGTTTGTAAGATTTATTTCAGCATGCTAGTTTTAATATTAACATAATTAAAATGTTTGAATTTTAAAGATCCTGCAGAGACCCTGATGTCTGATGTAAAAAGTCCAAACTAACAGTGTTCATGAACAACTATATTGCATTTATGTTGGCTGAACAAGGTATATGCCGTTTATGTGAACTCACTAGTTTGAGGTTCATACACAATTTCACAGAAGTGCAAGATATGAACTAATTCCATTCTCTTTCAGAAAGCTATTGCCATGGCACAGAAGGCCTCAGAAGAGGACGAGGCTGGGAACTACGAGGAGGCCATCCGCTCCTATCAACACGCTGTCAAGTACTTTCTGCACATTTTGAAACGTGCGTCAAAATGATTCTAAACAATGCATCTAATGTCACAACACCATAACTGATGTTTATCAAGTCCTCCTATCTGATCTACCAATTAGCTTCTGCAAGGGAAGTTATGTCAATGCAGAGTCTGTGCATGCAAACCGTTGTATGGTTGTTTGTGTGTGTGCCAATTTAAAATGTAGCCACCCCTATGACGTGTTCACTAGATAGTTTATTGAATGGTATCGCTACAAACGTTAATTACAATATGGGACGGCATCAAATCAATGTTCTCCTTCCCATCATCAGGTGAACCTCAGGGTAAAGATGGCAACCAGAAGATCAGAGATCGGTGCAAACTGTACCTGGACAGAGTGGAGGAACTGCAGAAGTACCTTGAGAATAAAGAGGTTGTTGTTTTAGAGATCTCCACAACAGTAACACTGAAAAACTGTCACAACAAGGCGGATTTGCTGCAGCACAAATAGACTTACTGATGCTGTGTGATATATTATTCAATGTCAGAAACACTATGAATCTGGTAGTGTTTAATTTTGGTAAACCCACCTCATAACAAGCCACATCAACCGCAACTCTTATAAATCCTAAATAAAGGTAATGATGGATAGATAGATAAAGTAGCACATGCAAGATTATATTTGTGTACAGGTTTTTAAATCCAAAATGATAACTTGAATTCTTTTTATATACAGTTTATACTTGTATTAAAGCCGTGACTCAGAGGCAACGTCTTGACGTCATCACATTCCGTGTACGCCAGTATCGACTGTTCAATGCGGAAGTTTCCTCCTCGATCAGACTCGGGAGCGATCTGGGGAAACGAAAACAACCTTCGTGAAAACCTCGATTGTCAAAATAACAGAGTATTTGTGAGTTCGACTTGTGGAGCGGAGTGTCCAAGAGTTGCTTAGTGACGGCGTAGTGATATTCGTTTCGGTTACCGGACAAAGTGATCGGCCCCGATGGCTACCAACAATAATTTACAGGTAAGTTGACGACCGACCCGCAGCGGAATAAAACATGTACATGCGAGAACAAAGTTGTCCACGTGTAGAAACAAACATTGAGAGACAATCTAGCTGTTGTTGAGCTAAGAGAGAGGCTGTGGTGTTCGCTGTAAATGCTTCCGAGGGGGTACAACGACGTTTGTGACATTAGCTGCTAAGTAGCATGCTCAGCTAACTTAGCTAACCTGAGCATGAGTGAGGTTTTCCACTTGTCAACAACATTCAGACCACAAACATCGAATGCTGCGACGTGTATGTTTAAAGAAGGTTGTTTCTGTCTTTTGTTGCAGTTTATGCGGGTGTTCGTTTTGCTGGTTAATAGCAGTTAGCTTCTGCTGACCAACATTAACACCGCTAATGAGATTAGCGTTGCTAACCGACTGGTTTTATTGGGCCTCTAAAAAGAATACTCACACCAGAAAGCGAAATTTGTTGACGTTATATCTCCAATTTGTGTTCAGAGTGTGTTGTCGCGATAAGCTTAACTTAGATCTTGTGCATTCCTACCTCACTGTGTTCCATGACATCACACTGAACAGGTGTAGCTTTGAATCTGCTCATTATATAATGCATTACGGTAAATGTGCACCAATCACAACATTGCACACGGCTGACACGACTGTCTCTCAAGAACAGTTTTACTTAGTCATTTAAGTTAATTGTACTTTATGTACTTACAGTCATCATTTTGCTCTGATGTCCTGATTGTCTGACAGTTATTGGCTTTCTCCTTCATCTGTTGTCTCTGTCAATGCCAGCATCTATAACTATAACTTGAGTTTCCTGTGTCTCTCTTAATTCTAGAAAGCCATCGATCTCGCCAGCAAGGCGGCTCAGGAGGACAAAGCTCAGAACTATGAGGAGGCTCTGCGTCTCTATCAGGCTGCCGTTCAGTACTTTCTTCATGTGGTGAAATGTAAGACATGAGTACACTGTGAATGCAACCTGATATACACATTGACACTTGTAAAGTTTACGTGGGTGTAGTTAATTGTGGCCAAGGTTATACAGTCTTTATGTTCCTCACTGAATAACATGCAAGAATTGCTTAAAAAAAAAAGTAGAAATCATTCTTGTGTAACTTTGTGTAATGCTTTTCTTTCCAACAGATGAAGCACAAGGTGATAAAGCTAAACATAGCATCCGGGCGAAGTGTGCTGAATACCTGGACAGAGCAGAGAAGTTGAAGGAGTATCTAAAGAAGAAAGAGAAAGCTCCTCCTGCTAAGCCTGTCAAAGAATCACAGTCTGATGACAAAGGGTGTGTTTATGGGTGGGGCAGTGGGCCTGCTCATGTGATGCCTCTTAGATATGGGTTACAAAAATCAGTTGTTCTATAATGCTAATATAACTTATATTCTTGACATTTTGCCAATTGAATTCATTTTTTAATATGTTCTGTTTGTGTGTGTAGGAATGAAAGTGATGAAGGTGATGATCCAGAGAAAAAAAAGTTCCAAAATCAGCTCTCAGGTTTGTAATTTGTTAATTTCAAGGACTATCACGCCCTCTGCTGACTTATTGTTTATTTATTTTAAGTTTGTTCCTTGCAATCGTGTCATTAGGGAAGTAATGTTTTACATTTTTTTTACAGGTGCAATTGTTATGGAGAAACCAAACATCCAATGGAGTGACGTTGCTGGTTTAGAAGGAGCCAAGGAAGCACTGAAAGAAGCCGTTATTCTTCCAATCAAATTCCCCCATCTTTTCACTGGTATTTAATGTTACTTAATGGAAAGACCACCTCTTAACTTTGCTCCAAATGAAAACATTTGTGTATATAATATGAGTACTTGTGCCAGATACTGCATAACCTCTGTGTTTGAATAACAGGAAAGAGAACTCCATGGAAGGGGATCTTGCTCTTTGGACCTCCAGGCACAGGAAAGTCCTATCTGGCTAAAGCTGTTGCCACAGAGGCCAACAACTCAACGTTCTTCTCCATCTCCTCGTCCGACCTTGTTTCTAAATGGCTGGGAGAGAGTGAAAAGTGAGTTTATATCAGCAATCCACAGAAGTATGGGTCAACCTTAAGAATATGCTGCATCTCAGACCATGTGCTCCTATTTCATATCCTGAAAGCTTCCATTCTACTTCACAGATTGGTGAAGAATCTTTTTTCCCTTGCGAGGGAGCACAAGCCTTCCATCATCTTCATCGATGAGATTGACTCGCTGTGTGGCTCAAGAAGTGAGAACGAGAGTGAGGCTGCTCGGCGTATTAAGACAGAATTTCTGGTTCAGATGCAGGGTAAGTCTGCTGAGATAAAAAACAACAATTTGTAATTACTGAATGTTGTGATAAAGGTTCTTTCGGGCAACCTGCAAGTTTTTTGGGTTGTTGGTTCACATCCCAAATTCAGATTAATGTCTTCTGGTCACCATAGGATTTCACTGTATTCACTTATTACTAACTGAAGTGTGAACAGTTTAAATGACTGACCCTAACCCATTGGGCAGGGAAGTGATAGATACACTCCAGATAGATTCAAACTGTACAGCATGCTGATTCTGGTCATATGTGTTCAACAATTCTCCAAGACCTATTTTTTGCATGTGCAAACTCACTGCATAATAACCATGTGTTCAAAAATCTATTTTGAATCAATGACATTGTAATATAAATACAGACTTGTCTAAATGCATTAAAATATTACATTTTTGTTATGATCCAAATTCACTCTAAAGTATGTCCTACCCTGTTATTTTGCAGGTGTGGGGAATAACAACGAGGGAGTGCTAGTACTCGGGGCAACAAACATCCCATGGACCCTAGACTCAGCCATCAGAAGAAGGTTATTGTCATTAGTCTGTAAAAAGTTGTTTTTGAACATGTTGTCATTCGCCTGTGCTGATTTAGCATAAATTCACCTCTCTCAGATTTGAGAAAAGGATCTACATCCCGCTGCCTGAAGAGCACGCCCGATCTTTCATGTTCAAGCTCCACCTGGGATCGACTCCCAACAGCCTCACTGAATCTGACTTTTTCACTGTGGGCAAGAAGACAGATGGGTACTCTGGAGCAGATATAAGTGTCATCGTCAGAGATGCTCTAATGCAGCCAGTTCGTAAGGTCCAGTCAGCAACCCACTTCAAACGGGTATGTCTTCTATTTCACACACTATTCTGTTCTTCACTGTGATGTATTAGAGTTATATTTGTTAAAGTTCCCTTTCTTTTTTCTGATGTTAATTAGGTACGAGGCCCATCCAGGACAGACCCCAACACTATTGTGGACGACCTCTTGACTCCTTGTTCACCTGGTGATCCCAACGCAATTGAAATGTCATGGATGGATGTTCCCGGGGAGAAGCTATTGGAACCTACAGTATGCATGGTATGTAAATAAAAGTGATACATTGTGATATAAACAAATATTAGAGCCACTACTTCATTACAATATAATGTCTTCCTCTTTTCAGTCTGACATGCTGAGGTCTCTGACCAACACAAAGCCAACAGTCAACGAGCAAGATCTGGACAAACTGAAAAAATTCACAGAAGACTTTGGACAGGAAGGCTAGGCGGGATAAATCGGCCAAGTCAAACCAAAGCAAAGGAATTGTGATTGTCTCTCTTTACTGTCCCTGTCCATTCTTTTTGTCTCTCTCTGTATCATCTTAAATATTCACCAGACCAGGTGGTTTCTCATGAATGGCCAAGATTACTCCTCTGTTCTGCCAATCTGATAACCATACAAAAGGCCCTAGTGGCCAAAAAGACCACTTACATCTCCAGCTAATCCGATATAAAAGATAAAAGAATCAATACCTCACTGGGGAATTTAGAGGGTTGTTTGACTTACACACTAAAGGCTAAAGGTATTGATGAGCAGAACACCCAAGCAACTTATGGAAGCCAACAGATGTACACAATGCAATATCCTCTATTTTCAGTTAGGACCATATCCTGCATCTTTGTTTTCTACTCAGTGCATCACACCAGATAAATAAATACTCCTTATATATATATATCCTCTTTTGTATTAAAATAACAAGCATTTTATAATATATACTGTATTTTTTCGATTATATAAATCTTGGACTGGGAATGTGAAGCTGGGGGCATGAGTTCACAGAATTTGTGTTGGTGAAATACATCATTCTCGTCTCAAGGTGGCAGAGATTACAATGTTTGAAACAGAGATACTCAAGATGACAACTGCATGAGGTTCTGTGGCAGTTTTGGATTGTTAATCAAGTTTCCAAACAAATGACAATTGTATTTGTTAACTCCTTTTGTCATTTGAATCCAACACAGCTATTGGCGTGAATCACCAGTGGTGCCGTACCAAAATTGTTGTACCCTTTTATTCCTTACAGACTCGATAGCTTTGAATTACTTTGTCACTCAGCTCATATGTTTGGTTTTTTTCACTGTCCACAGGCTTTGCTAATTATCCATAATACAAACAGCAAAAAACGAAGCCTTAAAATAGAATCATGTCACATTGCAAATTTCGAGATGTTGAAGCTGGACACTGGTGGCTCAGGTGAAAACGTCATTATCTTGTACACTTAAAAACAGGAGTGCATCTCCAAGCATGGAGTATGTGTAGCCATAAGTGGCAGTGTGCACCACGTGCCTTCCAAAAAAGCTGCGAAAAGGTTTTTTTTTTTTTTTTTTTAAATTTAGGTTTATTTCTAAATTGGTCATAGTGCTTATGAGTACTTCATCACTACAACTAAGAAATGTTCAATACTTGCACATTTCATGTAAGCTCTTTTAGAGATTGTACACAGCTGTACTCTTTAGCTCATAAGGTGTGCAAACTTGATGGGAAACATCTCTTATTTTACTGTATATGTCTGAATTTATTGCCAACTCTTCAGTCTTTTCTTTGTGAAGAGGTGCATACGATTTTCTCTTTTTCATTTCCATCATGTAAATAAAGGTTATAGTTATGTCAAGAAAAACAGAGTGGTCATTTGATAAAGGTTTCACACTTAGGTAAAATAGATATTTCCTGTACTAATTATACCAGTTTACTCAACTGGTTACTGGTTTTGCTGGTTTGGAGTTTTTTACTTTATTTGCCAATGTACAAACTTGGCAAATAAAGTGTGTGGACAATACAACCTAATTTTATTTTCAATGCAAGATTAATCAAATGTAATATCAGTCAATTGAAATTA